GAATAATTAGCGAGGCCCACGATGACTTCCACCGAATACTTCTGTTGTGTTCGGAGGCCAGTTGGCGGCGATGCCATAGGCGAAATATCGCCCAGCATATATGGCTCGAGCATTCGAAACTTGCCGAGCACATACGTGCTAATGGACTGCCAGAAGCCCATCCGTGTCACTACGTTCCTGAGGAAGACGACGGACTGGCAGCAGCATCGCACACAGCTGCGATTGGCACGACTGTGCCAGCAGCTGAGCCCTCGGATAGTCGAGCGGCGGAATCCAAGGCCTTTGCTCTCACCCCAGATGGGGAAGACGCCATCGGCTCTAATGTCGATGCTGGCTACATGGCCTCGCTCCTGGATTACCACAAAGCCCCTGTTGAAGTACAGCTAGGGTTGGATGCTGCCATGAAAACTGAATGGCAGAAGTACACTGAATTCAACGCAGTGGTCCCTTGCACAGACAAGGAGTTCAAGGAGCTTACAAAGGCTGGCCACGTGTGCATTCCCACCAAATGGGTCCTCACCGATAAGAATGAACACCTAAAGGGGACGCCAGCATACACTCCCAAGTGGAAAGCACGCTTGGTTGCATGTGGAAACTTCGAGCATATCTCGAATGAGGAGGATATCAGGGCAGACAGCCCCACGGCTGAGCCGGAAGGCATAGCCCTTCTGTGTTCATGGGCGGTTTCATTGGCCCTGCGGCTCAAAGCAGCCGATATAACGAACGCATACTTCCAAGGGAAACCCCTTGAGCGCCTTCTCATTCTTCGGGTTCCTAAACACCCTAAGGGTGTACCCGATGCAGAGATTCAGCGAGCCGGGCATATGATTGCCCGAGTACCCGTGTATGGCACGACCGACGCGGGTCGGAACCTTTATCTCCGCATAAAGGAGAGTGCCCGCGAATTTGGCTTAAATGCCTCGCAAATTCTGTCAGCCCTGTACTATATTACAGGAGAAGGTGGTCGATTGTGTGCTTGCTTGTGCACCCACGTGGATGATTTCCTGTGGGCTGCTACCGCCGAAGGCGAGCCGGCTATCCAGAACCTGCTGGATAAGTTTAAGATCGGTCGCATAGAGACTGAGAAGTTCCGTTTTTGCGGACGCGAGTACGTGCAAAGCGCCGATGGGACCATCAGTATAAACTGTAGGGACAACACGCGTGCAATTCGCCCGATCGACATTCATAAGTCTGAAAAGGGCACGACTCCAGTCTCGAATGGCCAGCGCACAGCGTTGAGATCCGTCATAGGATCGCTGGCTTGGGTGGCTCGCGCCACGAGACCTGATCTTGCCTATAGGGTGAATGCCCTGCAGCAGCGTGTTACGACAGCCACGGTGGATACACTCCGTGAAGCAAACCGCGTAGTAGCACTGGCGTTAGGAGATGCGGATAGGCCAATCACGTACAGCGCTAAGTTACCCTGGAATACAGGGGAGCTGGCGATTGTTACGTTTTGCGACGCCTCCTTTGCAGGAGAGGCAAACCATAAGTCGCAGAGAGGTCGTTTCCATTATCTCACTTCCGCGCAGTCGGCGGTGGACAAGAACGCGTCAACGCATGAGATGCACCTCATTTCGTTTTCCTCGTCCACCATGAAACGGGTTTGTCGCGCCACACTCCAGTGTGAGGCTTACTCGTTGCAGCATGCGATAGAGCATGGAGACCGTATTCGAGCAGCAGTGCTCGAACTGCTCGGCAAACTGCCCCGGTCACAGAACTGGGAAGAAGTCGCCAAAAGATCGATGTTCCACCTGCAGTATACGGACTGCAGGTCCCTTTCGGATCACTTGACTGCGTCGATTCCAAAATCATGCGAGGATAAACGCCTCGCCATAGAGATGTCTGGACTCCGCCAAGGACTTTGGGAAGAGGACGAGCTAACGCACGCCTTGTACCATCCTTACGGCGACGAGTTGAGATGGATACCGACGCATTTACAACTTGCGGATTGTTTGACCAAGAGTATGAAACCGCTTTTGATCAATCACAGCATTGATCGCAATCTCGTTCAGGTGCTCGATGTGCCCGCGCAAGCCGCACAGAATACCGAGAGTACCTAAAGCACTCCGCTTTACGATCGAAGAACTCAGCCTGGAGCCTTGAGTCGCCGCACTCGGCTCGGTTGACTGCGCAAGCTCCCGGTATAATCCGGTGGAGTAGGCTTGGCCCAAAGCGGTCATAATTCGAGCATGATTCGGACGTCACACTACAGATAAGACGGGTGTGAAATTTCCCTGTCTTGAAGCGCCGTGTTGACATGTCCTCATGCGTGAATAGTTTTTGAGACAGTTCTGAACGCACCCTGTACGACAGACGTCTTGGGCTCAGACCAAAAAGTGCGCTCGTTGTGTGGTTGGACACTCACTAATCCAGTTCCTGCTTCAAAACGCTACTTAGTAGTTGTTTTGTAGAGTTATAAGTACCATAACCCCAATTAGGGTCCCCATTAAGGTACTTATAAGTCTATATAGTAACTACTTACTAAGTTCCCCGACCCTCCAAGTAAGCCGCTAAACTGAACGTCTATCGAGTTTCCGGAGCCTCCCGGAACCACGTCAAAACCTCAAAGACGCCCGAGGTTCTTTCAGGGCAACAGAACGGCGGTCTGATTTGAGTGTTGGGGGGTGTAGTGTAGGAATTCAGGTGAGAACGATAGGAGAAGAAAGGAAAAAGCAAAGCTAGGGCTAGGGACGCTTAGACCCAGATCTCATGATATGAATTGGGCCGTAAGTCTCCTTGTGACGAGTGGTTCCACCCCTGAACTCAGGATCTCGAAGCCTAACCACACCTGCAAACTATAGGCACATGAGTGCTGTTCCGAACGAGGCTGTTCGAGGTCAGGTTGGCTTCGGCATTCACACATTGCTTAGGGCCTAGGGCTGGCATGCAAACTTCGGTTTCATCGATCAGTTGAACCATGCAGAAAATCGTTTCGATGCGCTATTTGCACATCCTATGTCTGCCTGTTTGCTGTGGGAGCGCGGCATCATGGCGTACGAATGAAGCGGCCAGGCAATCTTTGGATTCCTCGATCGCTGGCAGCACCAGGTTCCCGGTGTCAACGTTACCCATATGGCAGCCAAACTAGCACGTCTTCAGCCTTTGCGAATCTGAATCGCCTTACCGTGGGGCCTTGTTCAACAGAGTCACTGGTCAAACCCCATTGAGCTTGGAGACACTCTTTCAATACAACCAGGTGCAGGCTGAACTAAGCATCACATCCGCAGCAGGCTGAACTTGGGCACAATAACCGGCAGGCTCAGTTATGCTGAGGGCTTCAACTCAACATGAACGAGCCAGAAATGCAGCGCTGTGTCTTTCCAGGTTTTTTTGTGGCAAATGAAACATGAAGAGTTTAGATTTTCACGTTTGGGGCCGAGTTTAACAAAGGACCTCGTCACTCGTGCCTGTTGGAACCCATGTCCGGTCCGGGACCAGACGCGAAACGGCGGCGCACTGCAGGAATGACAGCAAGGATGACTTGCACCTCAGTTTCATGGTGCTCCCACTTGCCTGCAAACCGTACAATTGAACGTCAGAGCAAGCTGAGAGCAAACTGCCAATGCCTGCAGGAGGCACAAATGGCCTCCCGCTCGTCCTTGACGAAGAAATTTGCAATGTTCGGCGGCTCGCTTGACCTCACACGCGGCCAATGCAACTGCGAACAACGTATTTCCCTGGGCATCATATCACACAATCGCCCACCGGCCAATCTCGACTTTGTGTCCAACATTGCCAACATGATGGGATGGAAGTTGCTCGTGAGCTACACTGCCACAACCGACGCGATGAGGACATTGGCTGTGCTTGTCAGTGGAGTTTCTGAGGCACTTCCTGCTAGACTATGATGTTGCGTGTGCAGTGTGGGGTTTCATATTATACCGTGTGTGGGTCCGTGCCGGCCGCCACCACGCCAAGGCAACCCTAAACCGTGAACAGCTTGAAGTCTTGAGAGGGTCAGCACATGCCTTTCGCAAAGCGAATTCCAAATTCCTAAGACCTTTCGGCGGGCGGAAAAAAGTGCTTAAAAAAATCCTTCAACCCTGAACCCTAAACCCTGAACCCTAAATCTTAAACCCTGAACCCTAAACCTTAAACCCTGAACCCTAAACCTTTAACCCTGAACCCTAAACCTTAAACCTTGAACCCTCAACCCTGAACCCGAAGCCCTAAACCCTGTAACCCTGAACCCTAAACCCTACACCCTGAACCCTAAACCTTAAACTCACGGCCGAGGCCGCCCACCTCGTGGGTGGGCGGCGCTTCCGCCCTCGACCTTGATGGCGCAGAGCGACCCAGCACGAGTCATGGTTGGGTTCTGGGCCCAAAAATGGGGCCCAGCGAGCAGAATTCAAGGACCTATAAGGGCCTTCAGGCCGCCCTCTCCTGCCTTGTTCACCTCACCAACAAGCTTGCAGAAATACATAAAGAAACCCATCATGGAATGAGTTGGCGCAAAAAGGAATAGGTTTGGGTGGTTTGGCCGATTTAAACGGCGTGGGGTGGGAGGGTAAAAAGCAAGAGCCATCCACAATCAGGCTCCAACAGCCAATGGTTGTACTTCCATGCATTCGAAATTACACTGTCGCAAGATATTTCCGCTTATGCGCGATTCTACGGCAAACCCTGAACCCTAAACCCTAAACCCGACAGAATCAAATTCGCGAAGTCCAAGAACAGAGGCCACCCACGACAGTATTGGTTCGATATAGTCTCCAAACAGGCGATTAAATTGGCTGAAAGTTTTGACCACTCCGCTCGGACCCAGGATTTTCTTGGTGTAAAACACCTCATACATAAACACGAAAGCTTTCGCTCGCATCTGCTGGCTGCGCCGACGCGCAACGCTGAATCGTTTAAATTTCTTAGCAGAGGTGTGGGTGGCGCATGGCGGACTTAAAAACCCTAAAGCTTGAACCCTAAACCCTAAAGCTTGAACCCTACACCCTAACCTTGAACCCTAAACCTTAAACCAAAGACGCGACAAAGTGTTCGAGGCTGCTTCTGCAGCCCTTCGGGATGCTTGGCGCCAGTCGGAAGAGGCAGGTGAGGCCGCTCCGGATCAGTGCCCTTAAGGGTTCCTTTAAAGGCTCGTTTAAGGGTTCCTTTAAGGGGAGGAAGTGAGAGGTTTCGAGTTGAGGGTTTAGGCATTTAGGTTTTAAGGAATGAAGATTTGAGGGAATTAGAGTTTCTCGTTTGAGGTTGGGGGTTCAGGGTTTGGGGATTGAAGTTTAGTTTTAGCTAGGGTTTCCTGGCAGTCACAGGTGTTCAACAAGGGTTTCGTCGGGGCATGAAGGGGTTTGGGGTTTGCTTTCACCTTTAAAGGAACCCATTTTGTACCCTTATAGTATCCTTTAAAGGAGCCCTTATACCACCCTTATACGATATCGTAACCCTTTAAAGGAACCCATGTAGTACCCTTATAATAACTCTTTAGAATGTTTGTCGGGTCGATATGGGTGTGGCACAAGGGCTGGGTGACTGGGTGGGGTGTCTTTGGGGGTTGACGGTTGAGGGTTATTCGGGTCCCATACGAAGGCTCTGGAGGGGACTTAGTAGTCGATTGAAGAGTTTTTCGTTTAAGGTGCTGGCATCTAGAGGTGGAGTGCGATGAGCAAGTACCCGAATAAACTCCCTTCCTTTCTTTAAGGGCCTGAATCAATCTATCTGAGGATCCCTTTCAAGAACAAGTAGTTTTTGAATTTGGGGGTTTACATTAGGCAATATGGGGAGGGGAAGGAGGCAAGTTAGTCGGGGCTTGGAAGCCTGCAATGAGCGGGGTTCGGCAAAGAGCGACAACACGACACAAAACGTGTATCGATCCGGTGCACATGTGGTGAAGGTTGGCTTTGTTTGTTTTATCGTATCCAAAGATGAGGGCTCCAACTGCTAGTATTGTTGTGCGACTGTGTCTATGTGTTTGGCCCCGGCTATATGACTCCCTAAACTCTACCCGTTCAAAGCTTCAAAGTCCTCAAGGGCTTAATGTACGATTCCGGGCTTTTGGGGTCACTATGCTGTAGTTGCAACTGGACTGCAAGTGGACGTGTTTTGATGTCACGCACAAGTGAACACTGTGCAGAATGTCGTGGCGGCCCGGCGCGTGCTCTTTTGCATCCTGCCCACTTGGTCGCAACTAGGGAGCTGCTAGGAAACAGGCCTACGTTGTAGCCATCGTAATCGTCATTTTCATCCTCCTCGTCCCCATCATCAGCGCCGGTATGGTCGTCAGCATCCTCCTCCTCCTCCCCAACCTCCGCCTCCGCCCCCGCTTCCGCCGCCTCCTCCTCCTCCTCCTCCCCCTCCTCTCCTCCTCCTCATCATAAGCATTACCATCACCATACCCATCGCCATCGTCATCGTCATCCTCATCATCCTCATCATCCTCATCATCCCCATCATCCTCATCATCCCTCATCGACATCCTCATCATCCTCATCATCAGCATCAACATCCTAGTCATCTTCATCTTCACCAGCACCATCATCAGCATCATTATCACCACCGTCATCATCATCACCATCATCATTATCATCATCATCGCATCATGACGGTGACGGCGATGATCGTGAGTATCCTCGTGGTGTTCATGGTCATCATGACTATGGCATATTCAGTATTGTCATCATACCTGACTCGTGACATGGCTGCTGGCTGTGGCGACAGCCGTGATGATGCTCCGACGGGCGATATTGTTGGTGGTGACGATGAATCTGAGCAGAGTCCGATGTTCGTCTTTTTTGTGCATTTATGGTGTTGGTGGTGATGGTGGTGGTGGTGGTGGTGGTGGTTATGATGAGTGTTGTGGTGATGAAGACAATGTTGACAGAATACTGCTGGCCATCAAGACGATAGTCATGCTGACTGTGATACTCATGATCACACTCATGACGATGATGCTTCACATAATGCTGACGAAAAGGTCATGGTCGTTTATTCAATTCAATAGTGACGGCTCAGAGCTGGTGTTCCTCTGTTTGCACTGTGTTGAACCTTTAGTGACAGTTGATGATATTACTGTTGTAGCTTTGTTGCAGCTTCTGTTGCAGCTGATGCTGCTATTCCTCCTTCTCTTTCTGCTGCTGCTGCTGTCGCCGGACTACTGGTGCTGCGATCACTGCTTCTGCTGATGTTGCCACTGCTGCTACTGCTGCTCCCGCTGCTGTTGCTGCCGCTGATAGCTTCCGCTGCTGCCGTGCTGCGACTCTGCTGCTGCTCCTGCTGCTGCTGCTGCTACTACTACTACACTGCTACACTGCTGCAGGGCTACACTGCTACATGCCCTCACAACATCTCATAGAGCGTCAAGTAGCAACGAGAGGGCCACTGCTTCTGCTACTACAGGCTCGCCAGCTTCTTCGTGGAAGTTGCCCTTGCCGCCCGCCGTGCCCCACAACCTCAGCCACACGGCTTTGTTTCCAGCGTCTTTCCGGTCTAGGCTTCGGGGTTCAGGAGTTCGGGGATCTCAGCGTGGCGGGATGATTATTACCACTACTGTTCCTATTTTTCTTATTATTACCATGGCTATTATTACGACTATTGCGATTGTTATGATTACTGTGTTTTGGGTTTAGGATCGAGCCACCCTTAACCTCAAGCCCTCAGCCCTAAATCCTCACAACTAAACCCTAATGCCCTCAACCCTAAACCTAAACCCTAAACCCTAATGCCCTAAACCCTCACGCCCTCAACCCTGATGCCCTAAACCCTAGAACGCTAGAACCCCGAAGCTGGAGGTTCACGTTCATGGGCGTGGCCATCGATGCCGCGGCACCGCCAAGAAACGCCTTGGTCTGCGACGTCCTCTTCGGTGCGCTTCTGAAGCCCGGGTTTGGAGTGGGGGTAGGGGTTCGGAAGGTTTGGGGGTTTAGGGCATGGACCTTTAGGGTCTATTTGGCAATCCGGCTCTGTTTAGGGCTTAGAAGGAGTCAACTAAAACGACGACGACGATGACGAAGAGCATGTACAACGAACTTCTTCCCAGCGACCGCCATATGCCTGGTGTGGTGCGAAACCTCCCAAATCTACGTGTGCTGTTGCTAGCAGGTGCTGGTGCTGTTGTTTCTCTCGTCTCTGCCCTCTCTCCTTCCTTTGATTGATCCTTCTTCTCGTTCATGTTCTTTTCGCCTTCGCCTTTCAATGACAAGGGTAACGTGAGGGAAGGGCAAAGGGGCGACGTCAGTTCTTCTCGACGTGTTTCCCTCTTTTCCTTTCCTGTCAGGTGGTCTCTTTCTGGCTTCTCTCTCTCTCTCGCTTTCTCGCTCTCGCTCTCTTCCCCTCTGCCATGTCTTGGGTTCTCATCTCTCCCATCTCCTTTTTCCTTACTCATTTTGCGAAGCTGAAGGAAGGAATAGAAAACAGCAACGAAGAGATAAGATGGCGGAAGATGGTTGGGAGAAGAACGGTGGATTCCTGCCTCGCTCGGCTCTCTCTTACGTTCTTTTCCGTTCCTTTCTTCCTCTTCGCTTCCTATTCTTCTTCATAAGGAAGGAGAAATGGAAGGGACGAGTGATTCAGGACAAGCAAGAGGCACTCTTTCTCATCATCTCCTTCTTCCTCGTTTGCATTGTTCTGCACATCTCCCTCTGTCTCTCTCTGCTTCCCTCCCTTTCTCCCTGCCTCCCTCTCTCCCTTCCTCCTTCTCTACTTCTGCACGTTCCCTTCTCCGCCTCTCTTTCCGCCTATTATGTTTGTTTTGACTTTTACCTTTATTTTCTCCCACCCTCTATGTCCTGTCCCTTCTTTTCCTCTATTCATTCTCCTCCTCCCTTTCCTGCCTCCGGTCCTTGTCCTTCTATCACTCAGAAGGAAAAAGGACGGTTCGCAAGGAAGAAAACAAGGGAGTAAGAAAAAAGACAAAAGAAACGGAAAGCGAATCCGGGAATGACAGAAGAAGGACGAGAGCCATGAGGAAGGAAGGACAGAAACACAAGGGAAAGTAAGAGAGAAAGATAATCGGATAGAGAGAGAGAGAGAGAGAGAGAGAGAGGAGGGGAAAGAGAGGAGGCCATTCTCACCGTCTCATTTCATTGGTGATAAGCCAGGAAGAACTTGTGTAGGAAGACAACAGAGTGTTCTCCTTTTGGCTCACCTTGTGCCCTTTCTCTCCCACTGCTCGTCCGCTCTCCCATCTGTCCTATCTTTGATTCTGTCGTCTTGCGGAAAGGTAGGAACCTGGAAGAAGAGAGGAGAAGGGAAAGAGACAGCAATGAGAAATGACTGAAAGAAAAGAGATACAGAGAGAGAGAGAGAGCTTCAAGCCTAGCAGAGGAAAAGAGAAAGACATGAAGATAAGAGAGGGGGGAAGGGGCGGTCAGAAGAAATATAAGCCAAAGCTACGTAATGAAAGGGAGGAAACCCCTTTCTCCTCTGCCCTTCCTCTGTTATTCAACTATTCTTCTCCTAGCGCAAGCGGATGAGCGAAAGTAAAAGAGAGAGCGGGCGAAATCACCTGCTTCGTCCCTTCTACCTCTTCCGCTCATTCTTCTGATGCTTATTCATATCAGAAGGGTGTGGAACGGAGGGAAGGGTAGGGCATGGACCGAGGCGAGGGAAGAGCTGCTGTATCTCAAGTGACTCCGCACTGCAGTGTCCGAAATAGCCACAGGATGGCTCCGACATCAGGTAGCCGTAAGGTTATCCTTTTTCTTTCTATCTTCAGCAAGAACGAAGACCAAACGAAGAGAGGCTCTCTCTTCCGGTTGCTTTCTCAGTTTTTCTCTGCTGTTCTGTCCGTTGCTGTGGCTCCCTCCCTCTCTCCTTCTGTGATATCTTTTTCTTTCCGCTTCTACCCTTTCATTCCCTGCCCTCCTATTGTTAAGAATGATTCATGTTCCTCTTCAAGGAAACCTCCTTCGGGGGGCTTCTAGACAGGATCTCCAGAGAGGAGTTCCATAGGGGAAGAGAGAAAAGCAACGAAAGCTCTTTCCGCCCCGTGCTCATGAATACCAGAACACATGAAAAGAAGGCAGCGAGATGTAGAGAGGTAGAGTGTAGAGTGTACAGAGAAGGAGCAAGGACAACTACTCCCTGTCTTTACGTCGTTTCCTTTTGGAATGACAAATGAAAGACAAGGAGGGGAAGGAGGAAAGGGAGGAAAGAAGAGCAGACAACCGAAAGGATGAGATAAGATGGAGTAAGATTGAGGAGGGAAGAAAGGTGAATTCCCCCCTCGCTCGGCTCTCTCACTTTCTCTTCCCTTTGCTGTCTCCTCTGCTCTTTCTAGCCTTCTTCATAAGGAAAGGGTCAGGGAATGATTCACGGCAAGGGCCACTCTTTCTCATCATCTCCTTCTCCTCATTTTCATGTTCTCTCCATCTGCCTCTTTCTTTCATGAGGGTAAAGGAAGAGGCGGGGGAGCTCCCCTCTCTCTCTCTGCTTTCCTCCATCCCGCCCTCGCTTCCTCCCTGCCTCCCTCCCTCCCCTCCCCCTTCTCTACTCCTGCACATCCTTTTCCGCTTCTCTTTCCGCCGATTGATATCTATCTTTATTTTTCTCACACCCTCTATGTCCTTTCGCTTCCTTTATTCTTTCTCCCTCTGTCACGCAGAAGGAAGAAGGACGGTTCACAAGGGAGAAGACAAAGAAGAAAGAGAAAACACAACAGAAAGGGAGAGCGAGGTCGAGAAGGGCAGAGGGAGAACGACAGAAAGTAAGAGAGAAACATAATCAAAGACAGCGTGGAAACAAAGAGGAGGCGTTCTCCTCTTCACTCACCTTATGTCCTTCCTCTCCCACCGCTCGTCCGTTCTCCTTTCTTTGATTTTCTTCTGGCGGAAAGGTAGGAACCATGAAGGAGAGAGAAAGGAAAACGGAGAAATAGACTGAGCAGCGAAGGGACAGGACCGGAATGATAAATGACAGAAAGAGCAGAGAGAGAGAGAGAGACAGAGAGAGAGAGAGAGCTTCCCTGTAAAGGAAGAAGAGTAAGAAGAGAGAGAGAGAGAGAGAGAGAGAGAGATGAAGGTAAACAAAAAAGGGGAAGGGGTGGAAGTGTTGCAGGCTACAGGGTGGAAGGCGGTCAATGGCTGGAGGGTGGGGGGCCCGAGTGACAAATTGCTCTGCCATTGGTTCGGAGGTGAGGGCTGGCTGGGGAGCCTGGCCGGGCTGAGTGGGTTGGGTGAGTGAGTGGGGAGATGGGTGGGGAGGTAGAGGGCCGCTGCTGTTCCTAAGCCCGCGCCCTGTGAGGATCCACTCCTCTCGGGCGTGGACGCCTTCATGGCTCGCGTCGACGAGGGGTCTGGCGGCCCTGCTGCCGGCGCCGGCCCGAGGAGGTGGGAAGAGGGAGGTAAAAGCAGGTAGGGGCGGAGGGCGGAGGGAGAGTGAGATGGGGGAAGGGGTACGGGTGAATGAAGAAGCGCGGAGGAGGGAGAAAGGGGGGGGAAGAGGAGGGAGTGGGGAGATGGGTGGAGAGGTAGAGGGGGTGGAGGGTGGCTGCGTTCTTTGGATTCTATAGGAATCTATAAGGGTTTTCTGTAAGGGCTCCATATGAGGGATCTACAGAGGGCTTCTATGTGGTTTCTGTACAGAGGGCCTATAGATTTCCAAAAGGAGTATACAAAGATTGTTTATGAGGGCTCCATATAATGGATCTTTCACACTTCTCTATATAGGGCTCCATTTGTGGATATATAAGGGTTTCCTACAAGTTCTCTAATTTGAGGATCTGTAAGGTTTATATATCAATAAAGCTTTTCTATATGGGCTCTATAGACCCCAGAAGACGATGAAGGTGATAAGACGATGATCAGAAGATGAGTCGATGGGAGAAAAAGTGATGGGAGGTGAGGAGACATGAGATGGGAAGGGAAGGAAGGAGTTAGGAGTAGGGGAGGTAGGAGGCAAGTGAGAGGGAGAGGGTGGATCTTTTACAAACACATTTAGGGGGACGCTCCTTGCGATGTGTGATTTTTGGATCTGGGTTCTTACAAAACCTTTGAGGGACACCCCTTGCGATTTGTGATTCTGGAAATTATTAGTTGTATAAACCTGTAAAGGGACACCCCTTGCGATTTATGATGGGCTCTGAGTTCTTACAAAACCTTGCGATTTGTGATTTTGGGATCTGACTTCTTGCAAAACCTTAGGGGAACCCCCCTTCCGATTTGTGATACTTGTGTTGAAATTAATCGCTACAAAAACCTTTACTGTAGGTGGACACTCCTTGGGATCTGTGGTGTTGGGGTCTGAGTTTTCACAAAACCTTCGGGGGACACCCCTTGCGATCCGTCATTTTTGGATCTGAGTTCTTACAAAACCTTAGGGGGACACCCCTTGCGATTTGTGACTTCAGAACTTACTTGTCATGAAAACCTTTGGGGGGACACCCCTTGCAATCTGTGGTTTCGGGATCTGAGTTTTCTCAAAACCTTAGGGGGACACCCCTTGCGATCTGTGATTATTGGATCTGATTTCTTACAAAACCTTAGGGGGACACCCCTTGCGATTTGTGATTTTAGAATTTACTTGTCATGAAAACCTTTAGGGGGACACCCCTTGCGATCTGTGGTTTTGGGATCTGGGTTTTCACAAAACCTTAGGGGGACGCCCTTTGCGATCTGTGGTTTTGGATTCTGAGTTCTTACAAAACCTTAGGGTGACATTTTTTGCAATACATCATTTAGGAATCTGAGTTTTTACAAAACGCAAGGAGGACGCCCCTTGCGATTTGTGGTTTGGGGATCTGAATGTATTGTTAGGGGGGGGCGGAGTAGGGTAGAATGATGGAGGGGGAAGGGATGGGAAGGAAGCACAAAAGAGGAGAAGGAAGGGGTTTTGAGGGGAGTCAGGGGAAGAAGGAGGGAAGGGAGGGGGAGGGGCGGTGGAGATCCCAGATTCAAAGGGAGGGGAAGAGGAGGGAGGTAGTGGAAGTGGGGAGAGGGGGTGGGAAGGCAGACCTAAGCATTTGTAAGAACTCAGATACCAAAATCACAGATCGCAAGCGGTGTCCCCCTAAAGGTTTTTACAACAAATAAGTTCGACAATCACAAATCGCAAGGGGTGTCCCCCTAAGGTTTTGTACAGATCGCAGGGGGTGTCCCCCTAAGGTTTTGTGAAAACTCAGATCCCGAAACCACAGATTGCAAGGGGTGTCCTTCTAAGGTTTTGTAAAAACTCAGATCCCGAAAACACAGATCGCAAGGGGTGTCCCCCTAAAGGTTTTTGCATAAAACAGATCCCAAAATCACAGATCGCAAGGGGTGTCCCCGGAAGGTCTTTTGTAGACCCTGATCCCACAAACACAGACCCCCTGCCATCTTATCCTTATCATCCCTGTCATCCCTATCATCCTTATCATCTGTATCATCCTTATCATCCTTTACCTATGGGAAAGCACACAAGAGAGGATTGGACCACAGTTTGATTAAATTTTGCCTGCCAAACTTTAATTACGTATGGGGAAACACAACCGAGAGGATTGGCTCCCAAAATTTGGTCCTATCCTTTTGTTATGTTACCTATGGGGAAACACAGCCGAGAGGATTGGACCAAATTTTGCCTGCTAAAATTTGGTCCTATCCTTTTGTTATGTTACCTAAGGGGAAGCACAACCGAGAGGATTGGACCAAATTTTGCTGCTAAAATTTGGTCCTATCCTTTCGTGTTGTTACGTATGGGGAAACACAACCGAGAGGATTGGCTACCAAAATTTGGTCCTATCCTTTTGTTATGTTACCGATGGGGAAGCGCAGCCGAGAGGATTGGACCAAATTTTGCCCGCTAAAATTTGGTCCTATCCTTTTGTTATGTTACCTATGGGGAAGCACAGCCGAGAGGATTGGACCAAATTTTGCTTGCTGAAATTTGGTCTTATTCTTTCGTATTGTTACGTATGGGGAAACACAACCGAGAGGATTGGCTCCCAAAATTTGGTCCTATCCTTTTGTTATGTTACCCATGGGGAAGCGCAGCCGAGAGGATTGGACCAAATTTTGCCCGCTAAAATTTGGTCCTATCCTTTTGTTATGTTACCTATGGGGAAACACAGCCGAGAGGATTGGACCAAATTTTGCCTGCCAAAATTTGGTCCTATCCTTTTGTTATGTTATCTATGGGGAAGCACAACCGAGAGGATTGGACCAAATTTTGCTGCTAAAATTTGGTCCTATCCTTTCGAGTTGTAAAATTTGGTCCTATCCTTTCGTGTTGTAAAATTTGGTCCTATCCTTTCGTGTTGTTACGTATGGGGAAACACAACCGAGAGGATTGGCTCCCAACAGTTGGTCCTATCCTTTTGTTATGTTACCTATGGGGAAGCACAGCCGAGAGGATTGGACCAAATTTTGCCCGCTAAAATTTGGTCCTATCCTTTTGTTATGTTACCTATGGGGAAGCACAACCGAGAGGATTGGACCAAATTTTGCCTGCTGAAATTTGGTCCTATCCTTTCGTGTTGTTACGTATGGGGAAGCACAACCGAGAGGATTGGCTCCCAAAATTTGGTCCGATCCTTTTGTTATGTTACCTATGGGGCAGCACAACCGAGAGGATTTAATTGGCGGACCAATTAATTGTTGAGGATTTTTTAAAATATTACTTGCCCAAAAATCTTTAAAATCCTGAAAATTTAAATGGGCCAAGGTTTTGGCTTTGGAAAAGCTAGCAAACCATTAAATTTTTTTAAATCTTTAAAACTTTTAAAATTTAATTGGCCGGCCAATGAATTTTTAAAGATTTTTAAAATTTTAATGGCCTTAAAATCTTGAAAATCCTTAAAATTTAAATGGGCCGAGGTTTGGGCTTTGGAAAAGTTAGCAAACCATTAAACTTTTAAAAATCTTTAAAATCTTTAAAATTTAATTGGCCGGCCAATTAATTTTTAAAGATTTTTAAAATCTTTAAAATCCTTAAAGTTTAAATGGGCCGAGGTTTGGGCTTTGGAAAAGTTAGCAAACCATTAAATTTTTAAACATCTTTAAAATCTTTAAAATTTAATTGGACGGCCAATTAATTTTTAAGGATTTTTAAAATTTTAATGACCTTAAAATCTTTAAAGTTTAATTGGCCGGCCAATTAATTTTTATAGGTTTTTAAAATTTTAATGGCCTTAAAATCTTTAAAATCCTTAAAATTTAATTGGGCCGAGGTTTGGGCTTTGGAAAAGTTAGCAAACCATTAAACTTTCAAAAATCTTTAAAATCTTTAAAATTTAATTGGCCGGCCAATTAATTTTTAAGGATTTTTAAAATTTTAATGACCTTAAAATCTTTAAAATTTAATTGGCCGGCCAATTAATTTTTATAGATTTTTAAAATTTTAATGCCTTAAAATCTTTAAAATCCTTAAAATTTAATTGGGCCGAGGTTTGGGCTTTGGAAAAGTTAGCAAACCATTAAACTTTTAAAAATCTTTAAAATCTTTAAAATTTAATTGGCCTGCCAATTAATTTTTAAGGATTTTTAAAATTTTAATGGCCTTAAAATCTTTAAAATTTAATTGGCCGGCCAATTAATTTTTGAAGATTTTTAAAATTTTAATGGCCTTAAAATCTTGAAAATCCTTAAAATTTAATTGGGCCGAGGTTTGGGCTTTGGAAAAGTTAGCAAACCATTAAATTTTTAAAAATCTTTAAAATCTTAAAAATTTAATTGGCCGCCCAATTAAATTTTAAGGATTTTAAAGATTTTAAGGCCATTAAAATTTTAAAAATCTTTAAAAATTAATTGGCCGGCCAATTCAATTTTAAAGATTGCAGGGTCATTAAAATTTTTCAAAATCCTTAAAAAATAATTGGCCGGCCAATTATATTTTAAAGATTTTAGAAGCCATTCAAATATTGAAAACCTTTAAAACTTGAAAGGCTAGATATTCGAATACGGATCTCTGTGGCAAAGAATTATAACAACGAAGCCGAATGCCAAATAGAACATAAAGGTCCTACGTACTTAGGGGTTTAGGGTTTAGGGGTTTGGGGGTTTAGGGTTTGGAGTGGGGGTTTCGGGTTTTGGGCTTTTTTAGGGTTATAGGGTAGGGTTTAGGGCTTTTTAGGGTTATAGGGTAGGGTTTAGGCTTGTAGGTAAAGGGTTTGGAGTGGTATCGGCTGGGTACTGCTGCCCAGCCTGTAACAGTTAGATAGGATATCATTGATACTACATCATATACAGCCTGTCACGAAAGCTAGCTCTGTGGAGCTCGCGGGAGTTGCCCTTTAGCAATTCACTTGTATTAAGGCACTAGGGAAAAAACAGGGTTTGCACCTTATCAGGTGGGACGTCCAAGAGTTAAGGGGGGGGGGGGGGGGGGGGGCCCCCCCCTAAGGTGCGCTTCCCCCCCCCCCCTCTTTTGGTGGTTGTGCCTGGGATAAGGTGGAGGGGGGGGTGGCCCCCCCCCCCCCTATCATGAGGTCCCCCCCTCCCCCCCCCTCCTCAAGATCCCTTGGTTTTGTTTGTGTCTGACGTTCGGCGACTGAAGTGCGGTCTTCTCTCCAGAGTAACCTCTAGTTGTCGTTCGCACATTACTTTCTCAAGAGTTAAATGAACGAGCAACGCCTGCACCCTTCACCGGCCCAAACTTTCCCTCCGCTACTGTCGTGCACATCGCTTTGCAGAGCTCAGCACCGGACCTCGTGCTTCTAGCTTTCGTGACCAGCTCTCAAGTGTTTTGACCGCTGATGCAGAGTGTTGCAGGGTGGGGGCAGTACCCGGGGTGTCGGTTTCAAGGCTCGCGGCGATTTCGGCTTTGGAAGCCTCAACGGTTTTGAGCCTTCACGGCTACAGCGTGTTGAGGATTCCTGGAGGGCCGGATGCCGACGTGATGCGACGGTTGAGCTTCCTAATGAAGAGGTACTGTAGGGGCCCAAATAATTACCTCTACTATTTGAGGGTTCTTTATTATCGTTATAGTATATTTAGAAATAATATACGTACTGCAAAACCCCTATTCTGCTAAGGCCCCCAAGCTCAACCCTTATCATAACCCTTAGAGAGACCCTTTAACGGCGCCTACATTACGATCTTCAGGGGTCTTTGCCTGTCCCTGAAAGCCCTCCGAGGTCTCAAAACCGCTAAAGCCCCACAAACCTTTGTTGGAGCTTTGGGGGACTTAGTAAGTAGTCGGTTTATGGAGTTATAAGTGCCCTAAAAGGGACCCGCTCGGGGAGGACGGCACTAAGGACCCTATAAAACAACTACTTACTAAGTCCCCCGACCCTCCAAGTAGACCCTAAACCCTATAACCTGCGAGCTTTAGCCCTACGTTTTCAAGCCATACGAATTTGGCCGAAGGCTTTCAAAACTCAGTTGTAGTGCTAGCGCATAACGTACCAAACAAAAGCAAGTGCTACGAGGAAAGTGGCGAGAAGAGAGAGTAAGACTACATGTCAATTGAGATCGTAGGGCGCATTTTGTTGGTTCTTGCAAGCACGGTAGTTCCTCAACGCGAAAGTCTATGTATATTCGTACTGGTAAGAGGAGCGGTAGCAGTAGCAGTGATAGTAATCGGACTCGTGCAAGCAGAAGTGACAGTAAGGCTCATAGACATTGTGCGTAGCAGTGGTAAAAGGTTTATGGTGGTAGTATTACAATGAGAATAGACACCAAAGCAATAGTAACAGCATGGCTTCAGCCCTTCACCTTCAACAGCTACCTGCAACTTCACAGGGGCTCTGTACTACTGCGCGGGGCTGCAGGCACCGCTGAGACATTCTCGTGGTCCTAAAAGGCAGATTTCAAAGGTTCCTGATCGGATCTGGGTGGAGTTGTATTGGCGGTCGAGGATTTCAGGCTTGTGTGGTTTAGGGTTTAGGTTCCATACTGTGGCGAGTGTTGGACGGGGCATTGCTTTCAGGCGGAGATGCGTTCCCGGCCTTTGCGCCCTGTAATGTTTTGAATCAAACACTCCATGCTTGTCTCCCTCTGCCTGGCTTTAGGCCTGTGCTGTGTGTGTTGCATACGGGTTTGGGGAGCCTTTAGGGACCGTATCCCAGTTTGCAAGCTTACCCAAATGCTGACCGGGAGCCCTCGATCTGCGCAGCCCTGTCTCTCGTATTGAAGATCCTTCTGTGGTGAGGGTATCATTTTCAATCCCTGAACCCGCGCACGCACAAGAAGTCATGACCAAGCCACCGAAGTCAACCCGAACAATCTTGCACACAGCACGCCGCAGAACACATCTCCGATGCCGCGTGACTCTCTGAACAATTATTGTTATTATATATTATGATTATACTCTCAATATATTATTGTACTACTATTGAAATAACTATTGTTACTAATGTTGCTGTTATTGAGGTTCTTTCTATTCTTCTTCTTCTTCTTCTTAGTGTTACAGCTCCCCCCTAAGCGTCTGCCCCGGTCTCCAGGCGATTGCTCCACCGCGGCTCCAGTGCCCGGGCAGCTCCGGGAACGGTGCCTGGGCTTTCTTGGGCTTCATAGGGTTTAGGTTTTGGGAGCTTAGGGTTTAGCGTTTGGGAGTTGCGGGTTTAGGGTTTGCTTGCTTAGGGTTTAGGGTTTGGGAGTTTAGGGTTTAGGGTTCAGCAGCTCCGGATTGAGCATTCACTAGTCAAGCTGACGGTCTCAGATTTAGAAGACAACCCACCCGCACAAAGAGTCCCGCAACGTTCTGAAAACACAGAGTTTTCATATTATCATTCAGCATTGACCTTGTGTGCACACAAACTACATACCCAAGTTGTCATAAGCAAGCATCATTTTCTAAAGCCTGACATTCTATAGCTACAAAGCTTGCAATCTTGAAGCCTGAAACCTTAAATTCTGAAACAAAACACAGCCTGAAAACTCAACCCTGACATCCAGTAGCCTGAGACCTTATCGCCTGCAAACCTTTAAGCCTGAAGCCCCAGTTGATGTTTGCACTAAACCCAAGTCCTGACCCTGACCTCAGGGGGGCCAGGTTTCGGCCTGAATCCTTGGTTTCGGCGTGTTTCCGGGGTTTAGGCTGCGTTGGCTTTTTGGAGCAGGCACACACAAAGAACAACTAGCATGTCGATATCGCCGCCCAGCGCATACAAATGTGCTGTTTTTAAAATTAGAACGTAGCAACCGAAAATCCATTCGAAACAATGTGGAGCCCGAAACCGGTGGCTAGGGTTTCGGCCTAAACCTTGACCTCAGGGGCCAGAGTTTAGACCTAAACCCTGCCCACCGGTTGGGCTTGAATTCATTAGGGTTTAAATGCGGAAAGGAGAGAGAGAGGTTTCGGTTTAAGGTTTAGGGTTTCGGGCTTTGGGTTCAGAGCTTAGCGTTCAGGTTCCAGGGCTTAGGGTTTAGGGCTTCGGGTTTTAATGGCTGCAACTGCGGCTAACACCGCCACGACGACGAGGACTGTGTACTCGAATTGCGACAGCAAATGGTAGTAATAGTAGCAATATGGTAGTAATATGGTAGTAGTACCGCTTCTACTACCACTACCGCGAGAACTAGTGCGTCGGTGCTAGGAGGGTTTAGATTGCAAGCATTCACTGCGCTTGTAACACTGTGTTTTGCCAATGCAATCTCTTCCCCCTCTCTCCCGCCCTCACTTCCTCCCTCCTTCCCTCCCTCCCCAGAGAGCCCAATACCCTTCAATTAAGGAATATAGCTTAAACCAGAAATATGAAGCCCTATATAATCGAAGCCATATTCCTTAATTAAGGGGTATTGGGCTCTCTGGGTCCCTCGCGGCAGGCCTCACCTTAGATGTTTACCGTCGCCATGAGCAGCTGCAGAGGTGCAGTCCATGGGGCTTGTTGAGTTGTGAGCTTTGGGCTTTGGGTTTGGTTTGTGCTGCGGGTTCGTTTTTTGGGTTTTGGGGATTCGGATGTTGCGGTGGCGGTCTAGGTTTCAGTTTAGGGTTTAAGGTGGCAAATGGGCTTTGGGCCTATTCTTTGCGGCTTCAGCATTCCAAGACAGATTTCTTGTCCTGCGCAGTTTGTCACTCCTTCCCCCAGAGAGCCCAAGACCCCTTTAATTAAGGAATATAGCTTAAACCATAGTATGCAGCCCTATACAATCTAAGCCATATTCCTTAATTAAGGGGTATTGGGCTCTCAGGGCCCGTTGTTTCGATCAGGGCCTTGAGTCACGGGGGTCTGGGGTCGGTTGGAGGCTTGGGGAGGAGTTCCACCAAGCAAGCTCGACACACTTGTGAACGTCATACCCTGAGACCTAAACGAAGCCCGAGACCCTGATAGCAGAAACCTCAAACCAGAACAGAACCCTCCACTCCTATCAGCCCTAAGGTCCAAATCCTAAACCCTGATCGTTTGCAGCTTGCGTGGAAGGTTCCACGGCGGCGCGCGCCGCTTCGCCAAGGTGTGGTTCCGGGTTCAAGGGTTAGGGGTTTAGTTTCGAAGGTTTGGGTTTAGGGTGTTGGGGGTTCAGGGTTGGGGTTCAGGGGTCCAGGGGTTAGGGTCCAGGGGATTCGGGGTTTTGAGGGGCTGTGAACCAGCCACCTTGAAGCCTTCAGCTCTGTTTCTTGCGCTCTTTCTGGGGGAGTGCTGGATTAGGGTTGGGCTATGTTGTGCCTGCAATGCACCTAAGCCCTACATCGGATCTCCGGGAGTTGGGGCTTTAGGAGCTCCGAAGCCTCGAGCCGATGGTTTTCGAACACGCAGAGAGCAGCGAAAGCAAGGACAGAAAGATGTCCACCCAACCGCTTAAGCTATTCAAACCCCTCCCAGAAGCCCTTAAAAAAAACTCTCCATGCTAATAATTCAGCCTTGCAAGTAAACCCTTTCGGAATTTCGACCCAAAAGCCTCCAATCCAAAAGCACACTGTAGCACTATACTAGAGCCCTCAAACCCCTTCACCCTATCTAAACGAATTTCTAAGCCCACGCAGGTTGCCCTGCTGGCAGCGTTTGTGCAGCCGGCGCTGGCGATCATCGCAGGTCACTCCTGATTTCTTGTGGGCCTTGTAGGGTTAAATGAGAGGTTGATGTTTTTTTCTCTGTCTATGTGCGGGATTTAGGAAGGGTGTCGCATTTCAGCAAGGATTCACAGGGTTTTGCAGGGATTTACAAGAGTTTGAGACAGGGTAGCAAAAGGGATGGTGCGAATTTATAAGGGCTTGTACAGGCATATCGAGCGGCCATGTTCAGCGGCAAGGTTGTGCTCACGTTGCGCTCCACTGTTGTTTTGGTGGCTGTGCAAACGAAACATCCGATTTGTTATTTCCGTCTCACACAGCTGCTGTCTTCATTGTCTTCATAAGTCCTACTGGGGCAGTTGTGCTGCTTACTCGTAGAAGCAGCAGCAGGAGGAGTAGTAATCGTAGTCGGCGTCGTCGTCGGCGTCGTCGTCGTGGTAGTGGGAGTGCGAGTGGGAGGGAGTGACTCCAGGAGTGGTAGTAGTGGTAGTAGTTGGGGGAGGAGTAGTAGGAGTCAGTAGTACTAGTACTAGTACTAGTACTAGTACTAGTACTAGTAGCAGTGGTAGTGGTAGTGGTAGTAGGTAGTAGGTAGTAGGTAGTAGGTAGTAGGGGGTAGGAGTAGGTTGTAGTCGTGTGGTGTATGAAGAGGCGGATGCAGAGGCGGAGGCCGAGGAGGAGTAGGAGGAAGGAGGTCGAGGAATGGTGGTGGTGGTGGTGGTGGTGGTGGTGGTTTACTACTGTTGATGAGGCAGCCATAATTCAACATTTTGCATCATACTAGACTGTTTTTGGTATCGTGCCGCTGTATCACTTGCAGGTTCATGGGTATACGCTACAGGTATAACCATGCGACTTGTTCAATCCTACTTATAACTGCCCATGAACCTCCCCTTATAGAACCTGTATACAGGCTGCATAGGAACCTTATAACCCTACGTATAACCACCCATGAACTTCCAAGTAGATACAGAAGCAGAAACATGTCTTGAGCAACCATGGAAGGGCCCAATGTCCTTGGTGGCGAGGCCGCTGAAGAAGGGCTTTCGGTTTCGGGTCTTGTTCGGTCCCTAGTTCCAGTGTTGAGGCTTGTGCTTCGTTCATCTTGCTCATCGTATACGCCTCCTTGCTTAACCTTGCCTAACCCAGCCTATCTAGGCTACCCTGACCTAACCCAGCCTAACCTTGCCCAACTTTTAGCCTACGGCCGTATAACTCAAAACTCGACGGTTTGGTGTTTGGAGTTGGAGGGGAGCTTCAGTTCGGGGCTTTAGGGCCACGCGGCGTGAACATGTGGAGCTAAGGGACTCAATCTTACGAGCTCTACACTTGAAGAGCCGAATAGCTTGTAGACAGTCCCATAGCAAGCCCGTGACAGCCCCATCATGTGGCTTCGATGTCGCTGAGTTTCAGGATCATATGAAAGATCCCGATGGATGGGTGGAACATGTTCGCTGTCCTACAATTTAGGGTTTGGGCTTTGGGCTCATCCCGTTACGCAGCCGCACTTACTAGCAATAGTGATAACTTTCTTCAAACAATCAGCAAACGCAATGGAACCACAGCAATACATGCTTGAATATTTAAAAATGAGCAAAACACAAGCATGCAGAAGTAGATACAGGCATCAGTGAGCATTATGCACACATACATTATGCAACCCCGTGCCCAAAGCTGTTCCAAACCTTGCAAGTAGTTGTTGCAGAGATGCTCAAGAAAGACTCTAATTTCACGCAGGCTTCGCTGATGTTCCTACGGGCAGCGGCTTATTCACAGGCCCGCATTTGTCACGGCCGGACGGGTTGACTCGATGTTCGCGCTCCGGTTGCAGGGTTCAATGTTTCAGGACCAACCCAAATCCTGAAGTTGCAGCGAGTGTTTTGCAAGTCTTTGAATTCCAACGATCGCGTGGTACTGTTGATGCAACAGCCGTAGGATTCGTTTGGACCAGCAATATCCACCTACCTGCGGGCTGGATGCCGACACTGAGGAGCGTACTAGGTGTCACTCTCCTTTTCCACGTTTATTGATGCCTCCATGGTGGTTTGAGCCCAAATCTCTCGATCGAACCGCCAGCCGCAAGCCGTTCCCAACATCTTCTGTGCACGCCGAAGCCCTCCCAAAAAGAGTCTGCATGAAACGCAAAACATCTGAAGTCTCCTGCCTCTCCACCCTGTACTCGAAGCCCCCAATTGATCCGTTAAACCTTCAACCCCAGCAAGCCTCAATGGTAAACACTAAATGGGTGGTTGTCAAAATTATGTTCCCTTTCTCGGTACCCTAAATTTTCGGTGCCGTACTATATTAGGGACCCAAAAAGGGACCCTAATTTTTCATAGGAGGCCAAAAGGGGTTTTAGCCTATAGGGGTTTAGTAGGGATTAGGGTTCCCATAATAGGGCTCAAATCAAGGAATCCCTACCCCAAGAATCTTAAACCCCCCTTTTGGTCCCTTCAGTTTTGACAACCACCCAAATGCTCACCAGGCCACGACGTGCCTCATGGACGCCCAGCGCGCCCTCGCGGCGACTAGGGCCTTGGCAGAGCAGTTTCCACGCATCGGGGAGCCTCCGAGCTAGGGCTGCTTGAATTATAGAAGACTTGTAGGAGCCCTTATAGATCCCTTAAAGGAATTATGGTAGCTTAAACTAAGTCCCTTCACAAGAACCCAGCCACACTTCTGAAGAATGCTCCAGACAAACCTTAAATCCAAAATCCTAAGCCGTAGGCCGGGAGCCTGGTGCCCCGTCCATGAACGCCAAACTCCGAAGGGTCGGAAAGCCTCGGCCTCCTTCCGCCTGGCACCGCAGAACCCGAGGCAAAACGAACGATTGAAGTGGGAGTCGTGGGGTCCTTATAAGGGTTTAGGGTTTAGGGTTTAGGGTTTAGGGTTTAGGGTTTAGGGGTTTACTATATTTGGGTCCCCTATTTTCGGAAACTTCCAAGTGTTTCTGGAACCTCAGAGCCTTGAACCCTAGAGACCCAAATCCTCTTTGAACCCTCAGCTGACTGCTTACTCAAAGGATCAGGGGACTCAGTAGGTACGGTTTAGGGTTTTGGGTCTAGGGTCACTGTAGTTGTGCTTAAAACTCCGATTCAGGCAGGAATACCCAGAAGCGGCACGGAGAGTCCCCAAAGGGGCCCAAAGGCGCAAGAGGCTTCCCCAAAGGGGCGGCCGCTGGACGACTGTGTGTGCATTTGCCTACCGAAGTTTCAAAAGTGCGAAAAGGCTTGCCACGAACCCTAAACCCTAAACCCTAAACCCTAAACCCTAACAGGGTTAGTTTGAGGTGCTGTCTTTAGTCGGGGCCACTCCTCCAGACAATATGCATTTCCGACGCTTTACGGTAGGTTCTGTAGGTTTTAGGACTGTAGAGCGAGATAAGCGCTTTAGAGCGGTGTGGGGGTTCGGGCTGCAGAGCGAGACAGGATCTTTATTGGAAGGGCGTGGGGCTTCAGAAGGTAGCAGAGGAGTGGTACAGCAGCAGTACAGTAGTAGTGCATCAGTAGTGCGGCAGCAGTGCACGAATGGTACAGTAGCACACTGGTAGCAGAGTGGTCGTACAGCAGTAGTAGAGCACTTTAAAGTACAGTAGGAGGGTTTAGGGGTTTTGGGTACTAAGACAAGAGTTCTTTTGCGTGTTATCAACCTCGAAACCAAACCCCCACCATTCCAAGATAACTACCGAGAGCCACTGGAAAAGCACAAGAAAGAGGCGTAAAAACAGTGCCACAATACTATAAGGGGATGTATAAGGATCAGAGAAAGGTATCTGCAAGGCTATGGGGGCACAATCGATCCTTGGGCCATTTCCAGGGTGCAGAGTTTTTGGGTGATGCCTTATGTGTTCGTTCTGCGAAGTGCTGCACACCCAGCTTACAGAGCATCCTGAGCATGCAAAACCCACGACCCAAAACCCCACACCCTCAAGCCATAACAGTAGACCCTGAGCCCAAAGCATAATGTATCAAGCACAAGACTAACACCTGGATTGTTGAAGTGTGCGTAGGAAACGGTAGCAGTCACACTGCCGGTCCTTCAGCCGACGTGCCCACCCTCTCGCTGCGTGGTTGAGATGGAGAGTGGTATCCGTCGAATGCGAGTGAACGAGAAACCCTGAACCCTAAGCCCTGAGAGAAGTTTGGGATCATGAGAGCACAGGGCGACAGAGCTTTCAAGCCCGAGGCGCCTCGAGCGTTATCTTTAAGGTCGTCTCAGGATGAAGCAAGCTTCGCAGAGCACCACCCACAGTTCTACGATCATGTGATCGCACAACTTTTTCAATTCAGGAAGGCCATTGTTGTTGCAAGCGTGCGTGACCGTGTCAGACCTTAACCCTAAACCCTAAAAGCTAAGCCCTAAACTCTTACGTAGTTTGGTGTCAGACATTTGTAGCAGATTTCCGGGTTCTTTGGCCTAAAGCCCCAGGCCTTAAGCCCTAAAAGCTAAGCCCTAAATCCTAAACCCTAAGCCCTAAACCTTCGAAAGGAATCCCAGTAGGCCCTATCCTCCTAAACCCCGAGCCTTTAACCTCCAGATCTTCGGACAAAGATCCCACCAACTGCTGGGCCTTTGGGATCGAACACAGAGCCCAAAACAAGGGCTTGTCTCCATGTGTCTCCATGCTTGCATCTTATCCTGGGTAGTATCATTAGGGAGACCCCTTGAAGGGTACCCCTTCTGAACCCTATTTCTGGCTCTCTTAAAAGGGACCTTATTGAGAGGGTCTATATCCCCAAGGGTCCCCCTAATCCTAACTCCCATATCCGAGTGAGGATCCCTCGGTTGGAACACCTAGGACCTGAAACGCGGAATCCTAAAGCAGAGCCAGACGCACCCATTGCCTCGGAGACTGTAGGAGCCGTAATAATTGCCTATACTATCTTTGGGGTTCCTTCTGATATTTATAATATAATGGGGCCCCAAGACCCTATTCTAATTATTTAAGGCCCCTATGTTAGTTTCTGAAGGGTTTTTGTCCCGGAAACCACATCTCAGTCGCACAAGCACTGGCATTCGTAAATGCATGCCCTGCACCGTGACATGTTGAACAGCACCAGACACAAAAGCCCTTGAGAGCCTTTGCCGTGAGCTGATGGCCTTTCGGTTTCTCCGCCGTGTACTCGTCAATGGATGAGGCGCTGCTTCCACACAGATGGGGTCCTTTGTGGATTGCAGATTAAAGGTCCACCGGTTCAGGGCTTGGCATCTTGAACGGCGGGCTCTAAGTTCGACGGCAAGGGCAATTCCCGCGGGATTTGTCATTGCCCAGGAGTTGGAAAACAGTTCTAAATGCTGACCCGGTGGCCACTCAGCCACCGAACACTAAACCCTAAACCCTATGCCCTAAACCCTTAACCCCTACTCAGTATTCTTGAGCGGTCGCCAAGCACCGCGCAAACCCGAAAGCAGGAAGGCCTTAACAAACGGTTCTCGGTTTAGAACCTAGGTTTACATACTCCATATTATATTAGGTTCTTATAGATTGTCATATATATATATATAATATGTATTGTATGTATATACTATACCCATATGTAAATATATGTGTATCTATATACACACACATGAAGTTGTATATATATATATATATATATATATATATATATATATATATTCACATATACAGACACACACTATATGATACATAATATGTGTACACACACAGAGACACTATATAGCAAATATTTTTCATGACATGACATGCTGGCTAAACTGAGATCTCAGCGGGGGCTTCAAGTTTCAGAGGTGCTCACCAGGTGTTTACTGAAGGAGCCTTCATCGTTGGAGTAGGGTTCCTTTAAAGGTTCCTTTAAGGGCTATGATAAGGGTTTAGTATAGGGGCCTTGATGATTGGAATAGGGTTTGGGGGTATGTTATGATAGAATGGAAATAAGGTACCTTCAATATAGTATTGGCAATTATTTGAAGCCCTATATTACCTAGTTCACGTATCCTGGATCCCATTCTGTCCTCAAGCGCTCCATTTTTTTCGGCTACGCTTGAGGGTCTGGGATGTTTGCAGTTTAAATCCCAAACATAGGATGCAATGTCGTTGTCTTAACATGGTTTTGACAGTCTGCCGCCAAAAAAATCAAGGCTTCTTTGTTTCGGGGTCGTTGGAGCCTTGCAGTAAGGTCCTACATTTCGATCTCTCTGGTTTTATGGAAATGCCAAGAGAGATGCACGGATCAGAACGATGGCACGCATCATACCGACAAGCAAGTCAACGCAAACGGACAAACTCTTTTGACTGATCGAGAGGTAGCTGCAGAAACTGAGAGAGAGACAGAGAGCCACCATAGCCCTGGCAACAGAAACAAAAGAGAGAGAGAGAGAGAGATTCAGAGCTTTAGATGACTCCTGAAGATCCAAGCTACGAAGGGATAGCGGGAGACCTCCCAAGGTGCTGTGTCAGCGATCGGCCCCCAGCAGCTCGATCCTCAGCAAAACCAATTGGGTAGTTGTCAAGATTATGGTCCCTTTTTGGGTACCCTAAAGATTAGGTGCCGTATTAGAATAAGGTCCCCCCTAATTTTGACAACCACCCAATCAAAGTTAGGTTCAAGGTTTTGGGTTTAGCAGAAGCTTAGTAGCTGAGTGGATACACTTTACACTTTCGGCATATTATTACCCACTATAAAAATGAAAAGGTATACACTTTTTGGGGCTTATGAACTCAGCAACTAAGGAAGTGCTCCCTCAAGCCTGAAGCACATGCAGTCGGAATCCTAAGCTGGAGTTCTTAGCCCTGGCAGCTACTTGAACACAGACAACTTAAGAGCCCAAGTAATCACAAATACCATATTGGGGGATTCCCTATTGTAATCACAGTGTAATATGCCCCAAACCCCTACCCTGTTTATTTCAGGCCTCTATACTACGTGAATACTGTGTTGCTTGGACGAACCTCGGGGGCCTTCTTGGATTCGAGATTTAGCCTTGTCTCGGGATTCCGGCAGATGCCAAGATGCCAAATCTCAAGTAAAGCCGAAAGCCATCCAAAGCGCCAAATCCTAAACACATTAAGCCCTATACCATAGCTGACGATAGCTCAAGGCCCTACAAACCCTCCTCAACCCTAAACCCTAAATCCTGAACCCCAAACCCTATACCCTGAACCCTGAAACCACGAAGCCCTGTAAGCCCACAAGGCCCCAAAAGCCTTCAACGATCTCCCCAGAATTCGTGTCCACAACTCCCCGAAGCCCGAGATGCCCTGAACGGGACCTTCAGACCCCAATTCTCTTCTTACTGCCACGATCCAACTGGGGGTTTCCGAAAATCAAGGGAGACCTTATTTTGGGTCCTCACAATAAGGATCCTACTAATTAGGGTACTGTATGAGGGTCCCCTATTTTCGGAAACTCCCAACTGTAGAGCAGAAGCAACGACCGCTTCTAGTGCTATTGTCACCCCTGCTTGCTACTACGGCGACGACGGCTATCGGGTTTCCTGGCGTCTTGTTGAACCTGCCCTGTTCCGCTCATCTTGCTTTCGTGTCTTCTTGCCTCAGGCTTCCTACTTTCCGTCTTCTTTTCCAGCTGCCTATTCCTAGTGCTTAAATGCACATCTCTCATTTGATCATCGCTGTAGTGTATACTGTCCCACTTTGCAGGCTCTGCTTGCCTCCTTCTGGCGCAGCAGAAGGCTGGAGCCCGGGTTGGTAATATGAGAGGGTCTGAAAACAGTAATACACTCCAAAGCAGTGTTGAGATCATGATCGACGCATGTCGCCATTCGAGGTGTAGGGTTAACTGTTGATGGTATAAATCCTGCCTTACCTAAAGGACCCTAGACTATTGGGTAATGCAGGATTTATACCACCAGCCGTAATCATTAAGGCTCCAAGTCGGTTGTGTCTTCAGCTGCCACGAGGCACTGGCTTGTGACCTCGAGCGTCCTCAGCTCAGACTTGGTTGAGTGTTCAGCGGCTGAGGGTTTAGGGTTGAGTGTTCAGCTGAATAGGGTTGAGGGTTTTGAATAGGGTTTAGGGTTTAGGGTTTTGAACAGGGTTTAGGGTTTAGGGTTTTGGCTCGAACTGTGCCGTCATTACAGGAGGATGTCATTAGAAATGATTCAGACCTCTCTATTTGGTGTTTCGGGTCGTAGCTTTTGTGCTTGGACTCGGCCATACATGCGGGCTTCAAACCAGGATGTCCTTTGTCTTCCTTTTCACTGCCACCGTTGTGCAATCAATCCATACGTTTCTGCTCGCAAACAAATCTTACTACTGGTCTTGCCTTCTTATGTACTGCCGGCAACCTACTCAGAACCATCCGCATGCTCACAATGATGCGCATAAACTAAGATTATTCTCAGGGAACCAATGTCCCAAAACCTTTTCCGTCGCCCTCATTGCAGTCATCCTGGCAGCCTTCGTGACCTTCGCCACCAGAACTCCCAACAGATCGAAAGCTTTCACCGCCAAACCTCGACCCTAACCCCTAAGTCCAAAACCCTAAACCCTTAAAAAGCCCTAAACCTTTCAGCCCCTAAACCCTAAACAAACCCTAACCCCAAAACCTGAACCCTTAGAAAGAACCCTAAACCCTAAACAAACCCTAACCCTAAACCCTAAACCCTTCAAAAAGAACCCTAAACCAACCCTTGAACTGAGAACCTTACCTTTGGTTAGTAGGGAATGGAGCAATGGGGTACAATTCTAGCTACTATTACTACCATTCTTCCATTCCCTACTAACCAAAGGTAAAGATCCCTTTAAAGGAACCCTAAACCCCTATAGATCCCTTTAAAGGAGCCCTATTCCCTACCAAAGGTAAGGAACCCTTAAGGCCCAAAGTTTCGAAGTTTCGTCTGTGCTTAGGCCGCCTCTGCTCTGCGCAGGCCCGGCTCTCTGCTGTGGGAGGCCAAGGATTTTAGCAGACTTTTAGGGCTTAGGGCCACAGACTGAGACGAATCTAGGGTCCAGGATTTAAGATTTCTAGCTGAGAGTGCCTTTCACTGGAGGAATGGAGCTGCCACTAGAAGTCAAAACACCTGGCAGTGGCAAACTTTGACTGCCTTGCTGCTACTTACTACAGTTTGCTGGTGCTGCTGCTCCTGCTACTGCAAAAATCTGATTGCTTCTGCTACTGCTGCTGCTACCACCACCACCGCCACCCTGCGACGACTGGGACGACTGGGACGACTAGGACGATGGCTACTACTACTTTTCCTGCTGCCACTGGTGGGGCCGCTGCTGATTGTGCAGCAGCCCCCGCCCCACCAGCGTGACACACAAAACAGCACAACCAGCACCACTACCGTCGCTATAGCCATTTCGGTGACGACGATGACGATGAGTTAGCGGACTTGGCTAGTAACAGTGTGGATATCTGCGACAACTGCGTACAGCCGTGGACACCCCCCAAACATTGCGTAAGGTGCGAGGACGCAGCGGCGATGGACGGCTGGAGGATTTCGATCTGACCGGATCCCTCATGCACTAGCGCTCCAACAGTCTTCCACATAATATAGGAGCCCAAAATAATTTTCCAATACTATTCTTGCGGTTACTATAAAAGGTACTATAATATAGGGGCCTTAATAATTACCTGTGTTTTTTTGGGGTTCCTTATGTTGAAAAGGGTATAATATACATCCAACGCCTACTTTAATTATTATGGCCCCTACATCAGAGATCTTCATCACTCACTGTTGCGTGGTCCCCTTGTCTTTACGCCCTTATCCGAATTCCCCCAGTGGCCAACGTCTCCACATCCCCTCCAAAACCCAGAAGCCGCTAAATTCCCAAAAGCTTGTACAACTCCTTACAGGCCCCTTATAAACCTGTATGTAGTCTTCTTATCGGTTTAGGGTTTAGGGGCCCTCATGAAAGAGCTTCCGCCATTCTTTTTGCAGGAGAGCCTGCGACAGGAATTCCTCCGGCAGACCGAGATGGCTGAGGCCACCAGGAGAGCTCCGAGCGCCCCGAATGAAGGGATATAATGTACCTGAAGGGGGTTAGGGTTTAGGGTTCAGAATGGGCCCTGAATTCAGGAATGTACTTCGAGGGGTTTAAGGTGTAAGGTTTAGGGTCGTAACCCTCGGCCCTAAAACTTATGTCCTGAGATGGCAGTGTTTGAAGCCCTCCATTGTTGAAGCCATATTCCCTCACTGATGGGTATTGGGTTCTCAGGGCTTGGCCTAAGCTTTTTCTTTAGATTTACGGCAGGGTTTAGGGTTTAGGGGTTTGGCGGTTTCTGGTCAAGGCTTTAACGGGTTTAGGGGTTCAGCGTTTCGCGGTGGGGTAACCGGGCCATCGAACACAAAGACGGCCAAGAAGGGTGGCTTGAAGAAAGGGCTGACTTGAAGAGGTTGCACTCGGACGGGGTTTGAGGGTTTGGGTGTTTGGGGGTTAGACACATGACTCTGAGCCCCAAACCTGACACAATCAAACCAAGAGCAGTAAGGACTCAGGAACGCAGAATTCGAGTCGGAGGTTCGCCGGTCCTTAACGTTGTGTTGAGTTCAAGGCGAAGGCTGGGAGTGGGCTCACCTTGGAGGTCGACTGGGGCTGGAAGGACCTTCCAAAATCCCTTAATTAAGGAATATACTATACCCTAAGGGTTCCTAAAAGGGATCCTTAAAGGGATCTATAGGGTTTAGGGTTTAGGGATACCTAGGGTTCCTTTAAAGGGGGGCTTAAAGGGATCTATAAGGGATCTATTAGGGTTAGTTAAGGAATATACCTTAAATTATAACAGGATCCCTAGTATGATTTAAGTTATATTCCTGAATGAAATGATTTCGGAAGGTGTGGGTGGAAGGACCCTAGTGCAGCTACAGAGCGAGCCGGGTCCCCACGGCAAGAGCAGCCCAGATCGAACCAACGTCCTCGGATAGCATATGGGAGTTTCCGAAAATTAGGGGTACCTTATTTTGGGGTCCTTGTAATAGGGATCCTACTATTTAGGGTAGTATATTAGGGTCCCCGATTTTCGGAAACTCCCCTTTCGGTCCAAGCGTGAACCACGAAGCACAAGCTCCCGAAACCCTGGAACCCAAAGCTCAAGACTAGGGTTTAGGGTTTAGGGTTTAGGGTTTAGGGTTTAGGGTTTAGGCTGTCCCAGCAGAAAGCCTGTCATGGATGGAAGCTTTTCACGGTCTTGTACTTGGACGTTCATGGGTAGTTACAAGTGGAGTTAGAAGTCCCCTAATGTAGTTTAGCTTATAAGTGTAGGTATCCTACTCATAACCCTACTTATAACTAATCATGTGCCTCCCTTATAGAACCTTTATAGAGCCGTTATCAAGCGCAATATTATAGCCCTTATAGGAACCTTTCAACCCTACTTATAACCACCCATGAACCTCTAAGTAGTCCTGGTGGCCAGGTGCTCCGACGGAGTGAGCAAACTGCAGCTGCGCAGGTACGGTTTGAATCTGGTGAAGGGGTCTGCAGGGACACGATGGTTTTGGAATGTAGGGTGTAAGAAGCTACAAACTTTATATAGAGGTTTAGCCCTTAGATGTTAGCATGGGGTCTTGGGGTCAATGGGGTTGAAGCTTTGAGTACAGGGCGTAGAGCTTACGGCGACTTGTTTGGCCAGCCGGAGCACAACGACGACTGATGGAGCACCAGCCCCAACAATTTTCACTCATGTAGCTTATGTCCTGCTAACTCGATATCCTAAACCCTAAGCCCTAAACCCGATATCCTAAACCCTTAACCATAAAACCAATAAGTCAGACAAAAACTCCGAGTCTGCGAGCCTTGTTTGTGTGCCTGTGATACTTCATGCGACCCTGGGCAGAAATGAGGAGGGAGTTTGCCTGAACCATGCTCGTCTGAAGGTATGTGTATATATATATATATATGTACATGTATATGTTTTTCTGTACATATGTATCTATATCTGTGTGTGTCTGTCTGCATGCATGTGCTCTCTATTGTACAGTTTTAGGATTTCGGGTTTGGAGTAGGTCCCCTCACCCAGGGATCCGGATATTCAGGCCCATTGGAGAAAGGGTTTATCAGTTGCTTCTTGTCAATTGAAGCCTGATGAGGTGTAGCTTTTCGGTTGTGTACTAGAGGGGCCTAAACAAGAACCAGTACTGTCTTGGGTGCTCCTTATTATGATTATAGCACAATGGGCCCCCAAACCCCTATTCTAACTATTCTAATTATTCAGGCCCCTATGGTATCAGATTTGGTGGGAGGCTGCAGCTGCTGCCGCCGACTGCAGACGCCTGCCGGGGACTTCCAGTTTTTCTCGCAACAGTGGGCGGGCGGTTATCCCGAGCTTCTGAGCCCTGAAACCCGACAATCCGAAAGCCTATGACCCAGTCCGGAAAATCCGCAACTCTGACAGCCCACAACCCTAAACCCCTTAAGCGCTGAACTTTACAATTCTCACCAGCGCTTTAACAACCAAAGTTTAAAGCGGTAAAACTATCAAGCTCTAAACCCCAAAGCCCCAAAGGCCTGAACCCAAAACTCCCAACCCTAGGCCTTTTAGCTGCCCTCAAGCAACAGCTCCCCCCAAGGCGAGATGAGTTGGCAGAAGTTAGCCGGGAGGCCAGCCCGAAGCATTGAAACCAAGCCGCAAAGACTAGCTTCAGTGGAGTCTGCACGGGTATACTTCAAAACCTTTCAAGCTTAAGATAGCGGCCTCAATAGTTAGAAGAGAAGGAGTAAATCGGGGGAGGTAAGGTTGGAGTTGAAAATTCACTCCCGGGGTTTAGGCTTTTCGGGTTGATGCTGTGGGTCTTAGTGTTGGCAGTTGGGCAGCTGTGCTGTTTTCATCACGGGTAGCTCGTCTAGCCTCTTGAGGCCTTTGATGCCGTGAGCAAACCCTAAACCCTAGACCCTGAACCCGAAACCCTAAGGATATGGAAGTTCATGACTCAGTCGTTTGGGAGAGCGGCTTCGATCCTCGAAGTGTTGGGCAGGCGGGCGCCGCACCGGATGAGATCGTCCGATGCTTAGCGTTGCCCTGGGCTTTGGGGCTCTTCGGTTGAGGGTGTTCGATTGTTTTGGATTCTCATATTGCTTTTTGGTTCCGTCGTTTTTTTTTGCGACTTCGATGTCGCACTTTGATCCCTACCGTTCAGCCTGGAGTCTTCCTGGCAAGCCGTAAGTCGGGCTCGTTTTGCCCTGCTCCGGCAAGAAAATACTCGGCCATGATGTAGGGGTTTCCGAAAATAGGGGACCCTAATATAGCAGCCTAAATAGTAGGATCCTTATTATAAGGACCCCCCAAAATTTTCAGAAACTCTAACCCTAAACCCTAAACCCTTTCTAGAACCCTTACAGATCCTTTTAAAGGATCCCTTTAAAGGATCCCTAAGGTACCCCTAATTTTCGGAAACTCCCATGTAGCTCTTGCGGACTCTGCGCACTCCGAGTCTCCAAGTCACCAGTGCCAAAACTTGGCTAAGCCCCTGCTTGGAGGGTCGGGGGACTTAGTAATTGCTTATATACTGTTTTAGAGATATAAGTACCATAACCCCAATTAGGGTCCCCATTAAAGGATCCATAAGTCTATATAATACAGAGAGGGACTACTTACTAAGTCGGCCCTCCAAGCGAAGCCCAAACCCTTAAAGCCCTACATAAACCCAAAAGCCCTATACTCTAAACTAAAGCTCTACTAGACTCAAAACCGTCTTAAACTCTGATCCCCAAAAGCCTACACAGCCTAAATACAAAACCCTGCAAGCCAAATCCTACATCCCCTGCTACATCCTCAATGTGCGGAGCAGACCTTGGGGTGCAAGGTTTCGTGGTGCCAGAAGGGGGTATATGAGTTTACATAGCTTTCTATGGCTGAGAAAGCAAATCGAGACGGGTTTTGTACAACGGCTCTCGACAAGTTCAACAAAGCGGCTTGTACCATGGTTTAGAGCTTTGGGTTTGGAGTTGTTGGGTTTGGGTTGAAGCTTTGGGGTGCTCCTTACAGCGAGCAGCGAACTGTATGGCCTAAATCGGAGCTTCACGGGCCCCAGATACAGACCAGAGATTCTAATGGATGAATCCCTCCCTTCCCCTGACCCTGACCCGAACCCTACGTCCTAAACCCTAAGTCCTACAAAACGAGCCCTTCGGAGAGTTTTGGACACCTTCTTGCTAAAAGCCAAGGCGCAGCTGCAGCAGGAGCTGCTGCAGGTGGACGGGGGTTATCTACTGTTGATGATATATATCCTGCATGACCTTAAGGACCCTAAACTATGGGAATTATGGTACATTCCTTATTATGGGTCATGCAGGATTTATATCATCAACCGTAGGGTTATGGGTTCGGCGCAACAGATGGTGGTGGTGGTGGTGGTGGTGGTGGTGGTGGTGGTGGTGGTGGTGGTGGTGGTGCTGGTGGTGGTGGTGGTGTCGGTTGTGCTCAGTTTGTGGTGGCATAAGCACCAGGAGTGGTAGCATAGCATTTGTAGAAGCCGTCGTCGTCCTGGCGGTTACGACTACGACGACGACGACGACGACTACTACTACTACTACTCCTCCTACTACTACTGCTACTGCTACTGCTGCTACTACCACTACTACTATTCCTCCTCCTACTCTGCTGCTACTACGATGCTACTGCTAAACCCCAAACCCTACAAGTTGAAGCCCCGCAGCCCTTAACCCGCCGGTGTGTGAACATCCAGACCCTGGCCGTCGACCCTTTTGAGCCCCAAAGCCGAGTCCTTACCTCTTAGTCCAACAGCAGATTTTGGGACTCGTTAGTATGATTTCCTTCTATGTTCCTTCAAGTAGTGTGGTGAACCCCAGAAAGTTGGAACATGGACTTAGGATAGCGATGTTCCAACTTTCTGGCCTGTGCTGCAAGTTTCGGGGACATTCTAGGGCTATGAACAAATAAGGTGGCTAGAGTTATGAATACTGATACCTTCAACTTATAAGCTTTCCCTAAACCCTAAGCCTTAAACTCTAAACCCTAGACGCCATTGCGCTTTTTTTTAAATAAAATTCTAAACCCTAGACCCTACGGGTTCGTAGCAGGCCACCGCATCCGCGCATCAGTGGGGGGAGGAGCTGCAGGAGGCTCCCCGACCAGAGCTCCAGCTTTTGGGGTTTCTACAAGGTTGCTCTTAGTAGTATGGGCATTAGTAGTAATCAGCAAGTATTAGCTAGTACTACTGTTGATGGACAGAATCCTGCATTACCCATTATAAGGAATATACCATAGTTCCCATAGTTTAGAGTCCTTAGGGTCATGCAGGATTTTGTCCATCAGCAGTAGTACGAATATTTGTATAAGTATGCGTATCAGTACCTCAATTTTTGTCAACCTGGGTCTCCTGAATGGAAGCCGGCACCAGCAGAGCTCAGGGTTCAGGAGATGCAATACTGGGGGGTTGGATACGCGGACATCATCCTTTGCCGTTCCGTGTCATAAGATACGAAGGGTTAGGGTTGAGGGTTTCGGGTTTTAGGGTTTAGGCTCTAGGAGTTTAGGGGTTAGGAGTTTAGGGTTTCAGCCTGGCTCGAAGACTGGCGTGTAAGAGCGAGAAGTGTGGACCGTGCCAGGAGGTTTCGTGTCAGCTTCCGAGTTCGGTGTCTAGATTTTAGAGGCCTAGAAGCCTCCAAGCCATATATGGTCACGCGCTCCGCAGCCCCCCCCCCCCTCCCCCCCCAAAGGTCAATGGTCCGGATATAGGGTGGGGCCCCCCCCCTCCCCTGTGGTGTGGGGTGTCGGGTTCCTCTTCCTCCTGTGGGGTGGTTGTGGGGTTTTGGGGTTTAGGGTTTAGCTTAAGCTTTTGAGCTTTGGATTTACGGTTATAAGGTATAAGGCTTCGAGTCGACAAGGGCTTAGGGAGGATTTGCGGTGTATGCTCTGCTTTACGCTTAGAGCCTGCAGTTAGGTGGGGTTTAGGTTGGGTCCAGTTTTAGGTTGGGTCCAGCGTTTTAAGTACAAGTTAAGGTTGCTCAAAACGGGGGCACGCGCTGCGTTATAGGGTTTACGGCTTGCTTGCGAAGGGCTTGCGCGTGAGCCCTGGCCGCCAGCACCACCCCACCATCCAGTGGCAGCTCCAACAGCCCCCCCCCCCCCCCCCCTCACCCCTATCAGACCATACCATTGGGAGGGGGGGGGGGCTGGGAACGCCAGACGCCTGACCATATATCAAGCTTTATATTGTTTGGGTTGTGATCCAGCGGTGTTAGGGTTTAGGGTGGATGTGAGGGGTACCTGTCATTTGAGATCGCATTGCTTTCCCCCCACTTGCTGTTTGTTTGAGGACCCTCGTCTAAACCTGCAGTGGAAGGCGTCAATCAGTGGGCTAAAAGCAGAAGCTGCCAGCACGGAAGCCTGAAGAATGAGTAATCATGTCTCCCTACAGCCTGCAGTTATGCACTTAACACACCAAAACTCAGTTCGATAGTTTCAGGCCCATATCTAAAACCCAGCGGCCATGTGTATATAAACCTCCGAAACCCGGATAAACCTTTGATAACAGCCCTAGAAATAAACGCCCACGATTAAACCCTAGATTTCAAGACTTTCCATCAGATTCTCCAGCCCACGTACAGGATGAGGATGTATCGCTAGGGTTCAGGCGGACATAGGACTTAGTAATTAGATTGACAAGGAAGGCAACCATAATCCTTGTCATTTATGACACCTGTTCGGGTGTTTGAAAACCCTAAACCCTAAACCCTAAACCTAATGGCTACGGCTCAAGCCGTCTGGCCCGAATTTCTGATTTCTGATTCCTGATAACTTCCCCCCGGGCCCTTCCCTGCCGGGCTCTGATCTCGTGTGGCTGTGGGAGGAGCAGTGTCCCTAGGTGCAGGATTCGCCGCTCTGTGAAGGCGTTCGGGCGGCCAGACCTTCTCCGACTTCGGCAACTTCGGTGTCTTGTTCTGGAGAGGGAGGACGTGATCTGGCGGCCAGTGCTTCGACTTCTTCTACCTTCTTGGGGTGAGTTTCCTGACTGCTTCCGCACGACCACACACTGTGCTCTGATTTGCCCCTCTCCTGGCTACGATGGCGGCTCCCATGTCGGTCGATGTGCTTGAAGTCGGGTCGCCCACTGAGGTCGCTGAGGGGTCGGAGCCTGATGTGGATGTCGAGCCCAAGGCGGATGTTGAGCCCAAGCTTGAGAAGAGGAAGCGAGAGAGAAAACGAGAAGCCAAGGCAGTCAAGGGACTTTCGCCTAGTGCGAAGCCGGTGCCTGACACGGACGAAGAGGATGAAGAGTTTGACAGTCCTTCTAAGAGGGCATCGACGGGGGGAGAACGACCTATCTCAGCACGTGAGCTTCGCAATCTCCTTTCCGAACATCGTCAAGAGCTCAACAGATCTTGGCACGTATTCGAGAACCGCATTGGGAAAGTTGAAAATCTGCAGAGGAACCAGACAGGGGAGATTGCCTCAGTTGCCGGAAGAGTCAAGATCACTGAGAAGGAGATGGTTGGCGTCAAGAAAAGTGTTATCTCTGGGGAGAAAAAGATTGAGCAGCTCGCTGAGGATGTTGCCAACATGAAGGTACAGCTTGAAGAGGTGAGACAGAATGCCAAGACGCCACAACTTGATGCAGGGAAACCTCCACATGGTGCTGAGGGAGAACATGCTGGTGGAGTTGGAGGGGACCCATGGGCTGAGTACCTCCGCAAGAACCGCATTGGGACGAGTGCCCCCGGTGTGTCCTCTGGGAACATTCCGCCTGCTTCGATGGGAGGAAATGCTATGGAAGCTGATCGTCATGACCAACTCAGTGATGAAGACAAGAAAACGCTCATTGTGGGGGGGTGGCTACAGGACACGAGAAAGAATGTAATTGAGGAGGAGTCCGCCGCGCTGTTGCAGAACCCTGAGATCCGGCCCCTCCTTGACGTTGACAAGTTGGCCGTATACGGTCCTCGTCGCAGCGTGGGCATGCTTCGCTTCAAGTTGCGGGAGGATGAGCAAACGTACGAGCAGCTTAAGACGAGGATGTGGAAAGTTGTTAGGGCCGTGTCTCAACTCAAGCTGCAGGTTGCAAGCGCCAAGAACCTCGGGGAAGACAAAACCATGTGGGCGTCCTTTGTCAAGACGAAAACCGCGCGAACGAGATCCGCCCATATCAGCATGGTCCGAAGAGTGTGCATGGCCCTGGCAGCGGATGCGAAGGATGAAGCTGGTGGCGTCTTGAACCTGGAGCACACGCAAGTCGGTGCCTACGATATGGACTGGAACGCTGGGACGATTTGGTGCGGGATTCACAAATTGGCTTCGTCAACCCACCGATGTCCCCGAGACGCCGAGTCCATCACGATGACTGGAGGCTGGATCAATCTCGATGCAGTCGGCCTTGTCGCCAGTTGCAGTGCTGAGGTCGCAAAGTCGACCTTTGAGAGAGAGCTGTGACACGATGGGGGAGAAGTTCTCACCCCTCCCTTGCAGGGAGGATTGAATGAGGATTCCGGCATGAAGATCGTGCGGGATGAAGTGCAAGTTGGTGGACAGTCTAAGACTCTCCAAGTTGCTTCTGATGGTCCTAAGTGTGCAAGACACTTGTGGGGACGTGCTGGTCAATGGAATGTGGGAGGTCAAAAGCTTGAGCTTCTTGATGAAGGTGGGAAGGACCTGGATATCTTGCTCGTGCAGGAGATGACCAGGTCTGATGATGGGTGGGACAGTCTTGATACTCCCCTCTTTCATTGGGTTTCACATCGGAAATCTAACCATTATCGTGGAGTTGCCATAGGAATTGCCAACGACAAGCTAGATTGCGTGATCGACAAACGGGCCAGCAGCAGAGGATTGTGGATTCTGGCGAAGTTGAAAGGCTTAGGGCGGGTGGCACTGGGCACAATGCATGCACATACCGGGGCCACGAACGCCATCTACCAAGCTGCCATCCATGATTTCGTCAACGCTTGCCCCAGAAAATGGCGTCAATATCCTTTGTTGTGTGGGATTGATGCCAATGAAGAATTGAAGTGGCATGAGGCCGAGCGGGGGTTCAGAGCAGAACCATCATGTTCTTCGACCAATCTCGATGAGGTCGTGCATCAACTCTTGCAGCTAGGAGCCTCCCCTCTTCCTCCCGTTCGAGATCAATGGGACACTGCCACGCACTACCCGAGGGATACGAGTCGCAAGGGCAGGCAGATCGACATGATTGGCGCACGACATCTTGACTGTGACTTAATAAAGATAGATGCATCGAGAAGGCACGTCATTGGCAGCGACCATGCACTTCTTCATGTGTGCCTCTACTCTCAGACCCGCTTCGCCAATCGATGGGGGAATGATTCCAGGCCAAGATACATGAGCGGGCCCATTCCTGAGGACACCATAATTGTCGACTCCAAGGACATCACTGAACTGGCGCGGCAGTGCACAAGACCGAGGCTCGGGAAGTCGTACCGTGACGATGAGGAAATCAAAGCCAAGGCCAAGGAAGCGCGCTCCATCGGCACAGCTAAAGCCTGGAAGGATGTGCATCGCCTTCGGAGGAGGGCAAAGCGTGAATGGGAAAAGGGTCGACTTCGCGACATCCTCCATGGAGATTGGCATCAATACAGAGCTCTGCAGCGTGAACGCACCAGAAAGAAGGGGTGGTGGGGAAAGATGTTGGCCGATCGCTCATCGACCGAGAACACCTCTTTAGTGCACGAGCACCTGAAGCGTAAGCTCGTCAATGAATTCGGCCAAGATTGGAATGACATTCTTCAACAGCAGATCGATTCAGTCCATGTTGGGGATGAGTTTGAGCGGTTCAGCGTTGTCGATGTTAGGGAAGTCTTGAGCACGATGAAGGTCAATTGTGCCGTGGGTCCGGATGGGATCAGTGTGGCACTTCTTAGGGAGGCAATGAGTCATGATGTCGTTGGACCTCAGATTCTCGACCTTGTGAACCACATCGTTGAAAAGCTCGAGTTCCCTGAGGAGTGGGAGGAAAACTTCCTGGCGCTCCTGGCGAAATGTGAAATACCCACCAAGGCGGGAGATTTGAGACCAATATGTGTCAGCTCAGTCTTTCACAAAATGATCACGAAGCTCGTCTGTCAGCGAGCCATGCCCAAGCTGCGGGTTGGTTCACGCATCTCCGGATGCGGCAAGGGACGACAAGCGGCGGACGTGATTGGAACGATCTCCCGAGTTCGAGATGTTGCGCGGGAATGGCAGCTACCAGTGTTGCTGTGTAAACTGGACATCTCAGGCGCATTCGATCGTCTCGACCGGCAGAAGGTGGTTGAGTTCCTGAAGGCAAGATTGGCAGACTGCGACATGAGCCATGAACTCAAGTACCTGCTGGCGCAGTTGAGAACCTATCACCTCAAAGGGATTGTCCCAGGTGGACATGAAATCGGCATCTCGCCCAATATTGGCATTAAACAAGGTGCACCGGAGTCGGCTGAGGTGTTTGGACTTGTCATGAATGACCTCCTCTCAGGCCTTGTTGATCACCGGCTTTGGCAGCAATTTGGTCGTCCGCTTACAGGCCTTGACCTTGAGCTCGTGTTTTATCAGGATGATATCTTCATCGTTGAATCTGAGCTTGGACGACTTTGCAAACGCATCAGAGTTCTTGAAAGGTGTCTTGCGAAACATGGCCTGCATCTCGCGACTGAGAAGACCAAAATTGTTGCATCCGCCGCTTATCGAGGAGCCCGTCAAGCCAAGGTGGGCGATGCCCTGTTTCAAGTTGCCGGGAGACATGAGTCGGTCAAGGTTTTGGGTCTCTCCTTCAACCTGCAGGATTCCCCCTCGCAACAAGCCAAAGAACTTCTTCATAGAACTCGTACGGCTGCCGCCACACATCGTGACTTGTTGCGAGGAAGGGCTGGTTGGGGGAAGAAGGCAGACATGGTACGCACCTTGGTCGAGTCCCAGTTCGCATGGACGGGAGGAGCCATTCACTGGAGTGCTGACGATCTTCGGCAAGCTAACACCATCCAACTACACACCCTTCGCAGTGCGTTCCGAATGGGAAGACATGAGGGCGAGAGTTGGGTCGAGTGGAATGGTCGCACTTTGAGACATTGTCGTTCTTGGCTAGCATATACGTGCCGACCGCGATGGTCCACTTCCATACTGCGTTTGCAGCACACGCTTTTGGGACACTGGGCACGTATGCAAGAAACCCTTGAAGATGGCCGTGTAATCCCGAGCCTGCCGTTGAGAGCCTTGAGTTGGAAGTCCACTAGCTGGTGGCGCTATCAACAGTCTCTCAGTCCAACGGTCGGAGATCGTCACCCGACCCGATTTTATGCATCCAATGTCGAAAGGCAGATGTCGGATGCCCATGGCACTCACTGGCCTAAGCTCGCTGAACAAAGACACGTCTGGGCCAGCGTTAGAGACGAATATACACACATGTGGGATGTCAGATGGACCCGGGAGAGGCAGCTTGCCATCCGCTACTAGGATTCTCTTCTTGGAATGGGCAATTACCTGTGACTTCAACTTTGACATGAACCAATGAGGCCTTCACATCTTGCTTGAAGCTGAGTACTTTGTGGCGAAGTTGAAACAAACGAAATGGTTACTGTTGGGTCAAACTCTTTCAACCTTGTGATCCCGAGTGGGGTGTTCATTTGACATCTCTCCTTTTCTCTCAGTCGTTTCATCGATCTCAGTTGGAATGTATCAGTCGATGTGTACACCATGGCAAACAGATTTGAGACCTGCAAGTGACTGCAAGTGACTGTTCATCCTTGTCTGCGCACAACCTTGAAGAGCGACCATGTCTGCATGTGGCTGAGATTGCCCTCTCAACTGCGAGCTTCATGTGAAGACCTTGGAGGCTCGAGACAATCTGCAGTTCGCTCCCGCCTCCTACCACGTGCACTCCATCCGCATGGGACGTGCCGGGATGACCATGGCGTGGTGGTTTGGAGCTGCTCTTCTAGGGCTCGTTGTGGACGTGAGTGGAACACTGGGTGAATGGTATCGACCGGGCACCTGGGAGACCTTGCCTCCGCCTGGGACGTGGATTACCTCACCCGCGCCTTGTCCGCCTTGGGATACCCGGGATGATGTGGGATCCTCGAATGGACAAAACTCCACCACGTCGACCACCCCAAGCACAATGCCGATCTCAACCCCGAGTGCTTCCACCCGTCCTTTGTGGACATCGGCGCCTTCCTCTTCATCGACGACGGCATCGACTTCGTGGGCTTCGGCATCCTCGTCTACGATGGCAGCACCTACCTCCTTGACTTCGGTTTCCTCCTCTCCTTCTCCAGCGGGACCAACTATCTCGACGCCGGCATCTACTCAATGGACGACGTCGAGTCCGTGGCCTGGGTCGTCCACCTCGCTGCGCCCCTGGTCTTACCAAGAAGTAATGATGTACCAGGCTGCTGCTTGGGATAATCAGACATGGCCACAGTCGGATCTACTGGGGTCTACAGAATGGGGCGATGAAGTATCCGAACAAAGTCCTCAAACATCTTGGGATGAGAACATCAGCTTGGCTCTGCAACAGGAAGATTACCAGACAGTGGAGGCGAGCCCACCTCTGCCGCACGAGATGCCTGTACCCTTTCTCACCCTGCCAGTGATCCAGGAGGACGCTACCGAGGTTGGGATAACACCAGGGGAACGGATGAACACGGGGGCGACCTGGTGGGAACAAATCCGAGATCGCCGGAATCTACGTGGCAGAGGTGCAACTGGTGCAGTACCAGCGGCTGAAACAGCTTCATGCGGTGATCCTGGGGTTATGCCGACCTCTACAACGTCTTCGGTTGAGGAGCCATCATGGGTGACCAGTAATGCAGTGCCCTCTTCTTCTTCGACTTCTTCAGCGACGTCCTCCTCTTCCTTACCCTTGGGGCAATCAGATGGTATGATGCCTTCCTCTTCCTCAACTGTCACAGGGATCACCAGCAGATTCGGACGAGTACGTGAAGGAGTGGATCGGTGGCACCATGCAAATGGCACTCTGCGATATCGACTCAGAGAGCAAGCTGAAGGGAGGAACTCACCAAGGGACTCCGCAACGGTGGCACAACCCCAAACTGAAGAGGTGATACCTGATGAAAGTGGGAGCACCCATGAGGATGAGGCACCGTTTGTGATGCAGGGACCTTGTGTGTTGGCATCTGGACCCGCGATCAAAGGGGTGACCTTCTATGGGGACAGCTTCTACGTTCGTGCGAACTTAGATGGTGGAGAAGGTGAATGTTCCACCACGGCGGGCGAAGATGACACCAACAGTGGTGACATTGCAGACGTGGACACCGAGAATGACACCGAGCAGAGCTCATCCTCGAACTCGACGCCAAGTGTTGGTTTCTATCGACATGGTGAGTGGCAAGCACGACCCCGTACACCATGGGAACACCGCCAGCATACCGGAGGACGAGGGCTGCAACGTACCCGCAAACAAGATGAGAGGATGCGAGCATATTTGGAAGGCAGATGGAAACCTGCATGGCTAGTCAAATATGCAAAGGAAAAGGAGGCCCGCCGTGGCAGAGATCTACCCCAGGTACCAGAAGACAGTCCTCCTGCTCCAGAACCACGACACGAACAGACCATGGAGCCACCCGCGCCTGAAGAACCTCAAGGTGAACAATATAACACTGACACCAGTGATGAGTGGACAAACTGGTCGTGGGATGCATCGTGGCCGGCCAATGACTGGTCGTGGAGTTGGCAAACTGGTCAATGGGCAGATGCTGATTGGCAAGATGACAGTGGGAACCCCCAATGGTCTTGGGATGGGGTCACAGCGTGGACATCGCCGGTGTCATCCACCGATGATCTCGCAGCCAGTCAGGCCGCAAGTTCCAGTACGAGCACAACAACCAGCGGAAGTATGGAGTCCAAGAGGAGTGACATGTTCAACGGCACCACCTTGACCAGCACAGTTTGGGGGGATGAGTTGCCATGGGGAACCGCACTCAGCTCCTCCTCTACATCGTCGACCACTTCGCTGCCAATCGGAGGAGTGACCCAGCCGTTCCCTGACCCGTGGATGGACTGGGGCTGGATCAGCACGTTGACAACCAGCAGCACGACCATGGCGAGCGTTCCCCCCAACTATGGTCTCTATCCCGAAGTACGCCCTGCTCACCTACCACTGGGAGATGAGGATAACTTGATGGCGATCACTAACAGTGAGGTCGCCATGCTTCAGGAAGCAGGAGTTCCCCGTGGACAGATAACGAGAATCACAAACATGCTGGCTACACTTGATGAGCAACAGCGACAAGGCCGCGGTCCGGAGAGTAGGTGGTCAATAGGACGTCTACTACAACGAGCGGAAGAAGGGATGAATGCTCTGGAAGGTGTACGCCGCGTGTTGCAAAGACGACTTCGACCACGAGGTGTTCTCCCAGTACAAAGAGTTCCACGACAGGAACAAGAGCGATGGCGTATGTTTCTCTGGGGGAGGCAATGGGCGGGCATCTTTACGGACGGCCTGGATGCGCATCTGCTTACTCCTCTACAACCTGGAGAAAGTGATGGTATTTTGGGGATGTCGCCCTCGTCGACAGCAGTGTCATCCAGAAGATCAGGACGTAGACGAGTGATGGGAACAGAGAGAGACAGATCTCGCAGTCGGGGCCGTGAGTCAACATCAACACAATCCGCGGTTGATAGTGAATATGCCCTAGACGAGAATGGTGACATGGTAGTGGTGCCGCCGGCAGTCGAAGGAGCAACCCCTAATGGACCTCCGCCACCCGTGCCCGTGGAAGTCGCATCTCCAACACCGCCGCAACTTGTTGGTCTGGAGCCAGTGGGAATTTGGAGGTCGCCTACCAACAGCACAGGTGAAGTTGAGGAAGATGGCTCGACTACCACCACTACCACCACCACCATCACCTCGATGATGACTGCGACATCCACCTCCTCTCCTACGTCGACGCTGACTGTGACATCGGCCTCTCTGACCATATCGACGATGACTTGGCCGGTTACCTCCTCGAGACCGAGACCGTCGTCCTCCTGGTGCCCGACGGAACGTAACACATCATCTGGTTGGGATGCAGTGGAGCGATCTACGTGCTGGACTACCTCTACAACGACGTCATCCTCTACTCATGCGCCGTGGACGATGACTGTGTCCACCTCACCGGCATCGAGTTCGTCGTCTTCATGGTGGATGGAATGCAACCTAACTTCGTATTGGGATGCAGTGGGGCGAACTACTTGCTGGACCACTTCTACAACGACTTCCTCCTCTGCCGGGTCGAATGTTGAAAGGCTTCTCTGGCCTTCAGACGTGGTCAGGGACACCGTGAACAATCACCTCGTCCATGGGGGTCAACTTGATGTCCTCGACCTTGTCAGAAGACTTCTTGATCGCCTTCGACGACTGAGACATGAGGAAGCCCTGATCAATGAAGCGATAGAAGAGTCTTTGACATGGATACAGACTCCGCTCAGCGAGGTGCCCATGAATGCACGGCACTTTGAGGCGGTAATCATGTCGGTGGTCCACAGGGAGGCCGGATTTGGGTCTGGGCCTTCTTCATCTGGCACCAGTCATTGGAGCCAAACGCCAGCGGCCACCTTGACGCCTGGGTTCCCCAGAGATCTTGAGGACCTTTGGAGTATGCTACCGGAAATGCATGCACACACGGTGCAAGGCTACAGACGTCGAGCCTGGCGTAATGCAGTCCGACGGGCTTACCGCGACGAGGGTCTAGATCCTCCTGAAGGTCATTGGTCGCCTGAGGGGGACGATCTGCTCTACTTGATTCAGGGGGACCCAGGCATTGCCGTCTCTAACTGGCCTGCAGAGGATCCACGACCTGAAGTACCTCACCGAGACTGGCCACGAGGGATATTGGGTAGACGTCGACATCGTACAGCTCGCCCACCTACACGTTTGGTTCCGTCGCACGTTCCCTCAGCACTTGAGCAAGTCGAACGCAGGGATGTTCGTGGGGGGCTACGAAGCAATGGAGGTGAGACTGGCGTCACTTCGAATCCACGCGATGGTCCTCATGGCGTTCTTCCTGGCCTTCATGTTGGTCCTCGTGATCCTTCTGGGTCTGATGCTGGAGTTCTCCGTGGAAGTCGTCGCCGTCTTACTCGCCGTCGACGTTCTGATCGTGCTTTCGGTCGTGAGAGAAGTCGCAGTAGGGATGGAGTGTGATGGATGTAGTTGTGGACTGATTCTACAGTCTTGTGCTCAGAGTGTGACAGTCGCTCGCAGTAACATGTGTAGCGAAGGGTTTTTGCTTGTTTCTGTCCAGTGCAAGCCCCGTAGGTGAGGCGGGCGTGACTCTCCGTGCGCCCTGTGGAAAGACACGCCAGTGCACTTTAAAAAAAAAAAAAAACCCTAAACCTTAAACCCTAAACCCTAAACCTTAAACCCTAAACCCTAAACCTTAAACCCTAAACCTTAAACCCTAAACCCTAAACTCGCTCCTCTAAGCACAGCCTTGAGCTTCTGTAGAACGCTGAAAAGGACCCTGCAGCCTTACGTGCTAAGTCCTTAAACCCCAAACAATAACCCCCAGAAGTACCTCCCCAGACCCCCGGGAGGATCCAAAAAGTAGATCGGGGTTCCTATAAAGTACCCTTAGTAGTATAGGGCCCCAAATTAGGGGATCTACTTTCTAGATCCTCCATAAGGTCAGGGTCAAGGAACCTTTAGCCCAGGTTCTGCGACTGAGGCCATCGCTTGAAAGCCGTCTGTCGAGGACGCGAGGTTTCGGATTGCGAGATCCTCATCGAAACATATTCCCCAAGCCCTAAACCCTATAACCTAAACCCTGAGCATCCCTAAAGGATCTGAGCCGCCTTTTGGGTAGGGCGATGTAGTGGTGCATCTCCCCAAGTCGAATGCCCGACGCCCTTAATCACAAAACTGAAGCCCTAGCCACTCCAAATCTACACCTTACACCTTTGAGCTTTGGAACCTTCAGCCCTAAACCTTGAAAACCAACAAAACCAGAAAATTCTTGGTTCTTGAAAACCTAAACCCTAAACCAACAAAACTACAATGATTTGAACCCTAAAACCAAAGTCCCTTTATCTTGCAAGCCTGAACCCTGAATCCACAAAACTACAAGTGTTCAGATTTTTTTTTGCCTTAAAGCCAAAATCCCTTACCCTAAACCCTAAACCCTTACACATCTCTAGGACGAAGGAGGAGGTCGCTAGCGAGCAGGCTGCGCACTTTGAGGCCCTCGAAGATCTCAGCGTTTTCTGCTTAAAAGATCTGGGAGTTTCCGAAAATTGGGGACCCTTCGAGTTTCCGAAAATTAGGGCATATTAGGGTTCCTTTAAAGGGTTCCTGAAAGGGATCGTTCTATAAAGGGTTTGGGGTGTAGAGCTTGCGAAGAATAGGGGATCCTGATATAGTACCCCTAAATAGTGGGATCCTTGTTAAAAAGACTCCAAATAAGGTACCCATTTTCGGAAACCGCCATTTTCTGGTTCAGACACCGAGGGGTCTAACTTCTGCGGCTTCGGGTTTCGGGTTCAGGGTCCAAGGGCTCAAGGTTAGCGTCCAATGGTTTAGGGTTTAGGGTTGAGGTGTCGGGTTTAGGAGTTGGAGAAATGGAGAGTGTCCTTAGTGCAGCAGCTTCTGGTGTCTTAGCTAGTCTGGGAGGCTCACTCTTTACCGATACTATCTTGGGGTTTCCTTATGATACTTATAGCATAACGGAAAATCCCCAACGTCGAACAAACTCGCGCCCCGAGTTCTTCACCACAGTTTTGGAACATCGAAGCATCGCTCACATTGCTGCCATCCTGGTTATTTAGCACTGCTGCAATCTGTGCACGCCGCTATGAGAAGGACCTCGACATGTCGAAACTTTCGTCGTCCCCAGGATGTAAACGATAACAGGAATTGAAATTATTGTTGTCGGCCCACACTCGTTCCGAAATATGGCAGATATCATGGTTCTGTTGCTACAGCAGCAGCGGCAGGCTTTTCGTTCAATCTGTTGTTCTCGATCATGGTGGTAATTGCTTTCTTGCGATCATCATTCCCTAAACCCTAAACCCTAAACCCTAAACCCCAACCCCCCCCCTCTCTGAAGAGGCGCGCAAGCTGCTGGAAGAGAGAGGCGCAACAGCCGGATCAGGGCGCTCCGGGTTCTCCTCCATTCACTCTTACCCTAAACCCTAAGCCCTTAACCAATCCCTAGACCTCGCTTTGAGAAATTCGCTGCTGCTACTACTACTACTTCTTCTTCTTTGGTCTGCAACCTTCTTGGGGTTTAGGGGTTCTAGGAGGTTCGATAGTGCTGTCTTCACTCTGTCACTTTACAAGATTTGCGGTCAAATTCAGAGCCCATGGAAATCCCTTCATCGAGGGCATAAGCCCTAAACCCTAGACCCTAATATTGGTGGCGGGACCTTAAACCATACACCCTAATTGCCGGAAGAGCCCCATTGGAAGACGTTCTCTCCGGCATGTCGGTCGAGGCTTTCTGTTGCAGCCTAAACCCTAAGCCCGGAGGTCGTGCAGTCTTTTACCCAGAAGTAGAGCAGGTAACCTGTATATAACCTATTTTGGGATAGTATAATCCCTGTATACCTCCTATATAATCAAAAAGGTTAACCTTTAGTTCCTCATGGTACCCGACATCAAGTAGGTGTATTGATGCGATGTTTAGGGTCTGGCGCCTCTTGGGGCTTTAAAGGGCTTAGGGCTTATTGGGGTTTATGCGGGATTTGGAGTTGAGGGCTTATTAGGGCTGATGAGGGAAAAGGTTTTTTGGGCATATGAGGGTTTAGCCGTTGCCATATCCTAAATCCTGATTCCCCCCCAAACGCTGAACCAAGGCGCTGAAAAGTAAGGCAATACCCGAAAACCCTCAAACCATAGACCCATCAAGGCCAAGTCACACTTCCTTGTTAATTTCGCTTCAGAAAGATGCTGAGCCGCTCAAGCCCTCAACCCCACCATTGCCCTACATGCACGAGGCAGCGGCCTCTGCAAACTGCGTGCCATGGCGTCGGAAGCTCATGGGAGACAGAATTGTGTGTGTGTGTGTGTGTGTGTGTTTGTGATTTTGGCGTGTAGCATGTTGGCCTTAAATTTCAAGTCGTCTCCTTTACGGCTTCCTGTCTGGGACTGCAGCGATAGGGGCTTGGAAAGCTTTCGTTCAATTTCAGAGAGTCTTGCAAATTTTTGCAACGACACCCGAAGCCCTAAACCTTACTCGTCACAGCATAACTGGGCCTTGTGTACTGGAAGGTGTCAGGTTGCGTCCAGCATTTAACTGAACTCGAAGCAACCAAGCCGAACTGGGTGTGCATTGGGGCTGGGTCAGAATTTTAGCGATGAAATTTGGTCAGAACGAAAGGTAGGATCTTCGCGTTGTTGTTCTTTCTGTTGTACACTGGGCCTGAAAACATAGCCGTAAAACCTCCTCAGCCACACAACCCTATACCCTAATCCTGAAACTCTCAACCCTAAGCCCTAAGCCTCTCACCCTAAGCCCCGTGCCCAGCGGAGGACCAGGGACTTAGTAAGCAGGGTTACAAAAGCGGTTGGCTAGATACAAGGGCCACCAAGAATACCTATGTACTACGTCCTCCGATCTTCCAATTCCAACGTATCCATAGGATGGAATACCCCCCATAAGTCCCCGTTATGAATATTCAGGACTTGATATCGAGCCCTAACTTCCTAAATCCATCCTCCGGCTTAGGGTCTGTTTAGGGGATCAGGGGACGAAGTAAGTCAGGTTGCAAGTACTGTACCTGGCGGTTAGAAGTAATGATCGTTACAACTAACTTTCCTTTGGCGTTACTTCTCCTTTGAGTCTCAAGCGGAAACCGAAACCCTGAACGACTCGGCTGAGGCAATGCCATCTGGAAGATCTCCAGGGCAGCGCCGTACACCCGGAGCCTGCTTTTTTCATGTGGGTAGTTTTCAAAATTACGGTCCCTTTTTGGGAACCCTAAATACTAGGTGCCACATCATAATTAAGGGCCCAAAAAGTAACCACAATTTTGATAACCACCCATGTATTTCCCTGTTTATATACATGGCCTCACGGTATGGATCTTGGGTTTTGGAGTTCAGGGTGGAGGGTTTCCTTTGTGGGAGTAGGATCTGGTTCAGGCCAACTAGGCCTACGAGGATCCTGGCTTAGGAGAGTGTTAAGGGGGGGCACAGGTCAAGGCGAACGAGGTGGCTTAAACAAGCCAAACCCCCCAGAAACTCCAATATCCCTTAATTAAGGCATAAACTTTAATCATGTTTTGGGATCCTACTATAATTTTAGGCATATTCCTTAATTCAGGGATATTGGAGTCTCTGGGCCCTTGTCCACTAAACCCAACCCTCAAATCTCTGAATACGCCCTAACAGCCCACTGCACCCTGAACTATGTTAAACCCCAAAGATGTGCCCCAAACTCTAACTTCACCCTGAACCCTTATCCAAACCCGTAACCCGAAGGTTTGGGTTCTAAACCCTGTATGTTGATTTCCTTTCGCATCCGTCCTTGCTCAAAGCTTGTGCTTGCATCAGCGGGCCGGCCAGACGCCCGTCAGGCGGGAACTGCCAGGATCAAGGAAGGTGTAACGTCTAAGGCTTGGGGTGTGGGTTCAGGGTTGCCATGCAAGCAAGGTTGTGTGACATGCATGCTTGGACTCGGACTTGAGGTGTTGAGTAGGGATACTGGCAATAAGGACCCACTTCTACACCCTTCTTGCTAGCTTCCACAATGTGGTGTCAGTCTTGTCGGCGGGACCAAACCGTAAATCTTGAGCCCCAACCTTGAATTCCCAAACTTTAAACCCTAGACCCTAGACCCTGCACCCCAAAACCGAAAATCGTAAACTTTTGAACCTTATAGCCTGGACGGTTCCGTTCGTAGACCCGCGTTCGCCATCAGCCACACCCGACGTCCTGACCTGCTTAGGCCCCAAGCCTTAAGGGCCTTAAGACGCGAGTGTTAATAATTGCAAAGGGTTTTGGGGTGCATTATAGTATGATTACATTGAGACTATAAGAGGACATTATGTTTAGTTTTTGCGACCTCCATATGCTGAAGCCTGCATCTGGATTGCGAGCCTATGCTATCTTGAGACACTCTAAGGAAGACACGTATGGATTAGTCAGCCAGCCAAGAGAAAAGTCTGGATTAGGTCCCAGCAGTTCCCTCAAGCCCCAACCGTAGGAACCCGAGGCGTAAAGCCCAAATCCCGGACTCGAAACTCGAAGCACTAGACCCCAAAACCCTGAAAGCCCTAAGCCCTAAACCCCGAAACCCTAAAACCGTAAAGCCCTAAAACGCTACAGTAGAAGCCCGAAAGTTGGAACATCATTCTCCTCGTGCCCGTAAAAAGTACAGGGAATCCCAGCAAGAATCATCCAAAATCAATGTTCCAAAGTTTTAGGGTTCACTATAAAGCCCTAAAGCTCTGAAGCCCTGGAGCTCTGAAGCCCTAAAGCCCGAAACCCTAAAACCCCGAAGCCCTAAAGCCCTAAAGCTCTGAAGACCTGAAGCTCTGAAGCCCTAAAGCCCTAAAGTCCCGAAGCCCTAAAGCCCCAAAGCCCTAAAACCCTAAGCCCTAAAGCTCCGAAGCCCTGGAGCTCTGAAGCCGAAGATCCTGAAGCACACAAAGGGCTTGTCGACCATGCCGGCGGTGTCAATCAGCAAGCCGTTTCAGCCCCAGCGCCTCGGAAAAGATGGGTGGCTGTCAAACTTGTGGTCCTCTTTGTGGGTACCCTAAATATTAGGTGCCGTACTATACTAAGGACCCAAAAAGGGACCCTAATTTTGACAAAACCCTATACCCTTATAGAATCCCTATAGATCCCTTTAAAGGGACCCAAAAAGGGGACCCTAATTTTGACAACCACCCAGATGTTCTATGGACCTGGGTCTGAAGGCTTTAACATTTCGGGGCCTAGACAGAGTCCTCATTGTAAATGGGGTCCTCAAATTTTTGCAAAATAGACCCCCCCCCCAAAGATGATTCTAATTGGGTTTAACATTGGGGCCTAAACTAAGAATGCCATTCTGGGGTTCCGTATTGCACTTATAGTTCAATGGAACGGAAACACTATTCTAACCAGTATGGCCTCCATATTTGGGTTTGGGGTTTCGGGTTGATGGATTGTGGTCTATTACAATTGTGGGTTCTGGGATGACGGATGAATTGGATGGGGCTGAGAAGCTGTTGACCAACCCCGATTTGTATAGACTCTGAAGCGGTATAGGGTTTAGGGTTTAGGGTTTAGGGTTTAGGGTTTAGGGTTTAGGGTCTTGCGAAGTACCCTGCAAGTGCAGAAACCACCACAAAAAGGTCTACAACCTCCTATACCCTATCAGCTACCATCCAGCTGCCGGGCTCAAGGAGCAAAAGCACACTGAACACCAATAAGGCTAAACGCTGAATTTCATTGAGCCTGAAACTCTACATGTCCTTGGAGCCTCAAGCGCACATGATGTCCGAGCAGAACCGAATCCTTTCTAATCTTCTTTTGCCTTACGAACCCTACTATGTGAATTTACAGTTCTCCAAAGACCCTTCAACCCAAAGACTCTTCCTTAACCCTACACGCCTGATTTCTTTACACCCGAAGCCCTACATGTCCTTGCAGTAACATTTAGGACCAGAAATGGCCCTGGATCTTGAACCCAAAACCTTAAACCCTAACCGTATACACTAACCTGCTTAAAAGGCTCTCTTGAACCTGCCAGGGAAAACCCCAAGCCCTAAACAGCAAAAGCACCTGAAGCCTAAACCATAAACCCCAAGCCCTAAACACTGACAAAAACAGCGCCGTAAGCCCTAGCCACTACAGACCAAGGCTGGAGAAGTTTTGCCGAACGGAGCCTCTGTCTCTGGAGGAGCTGGTCGAAGTCAAAGCACTTCTGTCCTCAAAGGCGCGGAGTAGAGTTCCCTTTCAGGGTTTAGAGTTTGTGTTTAGGGTTTAAGCTTTAGGGATTCAGGTCTAAGGTTGTCCTTTTCAGGGTTTATGGCTTGTGTTTAAGTTGAAGGTTTAGGGTTCAAGGGTTACTATATCGAGATATGCTATACTGCTAAACTCGACGGTTACCGCAAGGGTTTGGTTTGGAACCCTTAGTTGCTAGAACAGGGTTCCTTTAACAGGCTTCTGTAAGGGTTGCTGCAAGGGTCAAGTCAGGGGACCTCGAGGGCGAGTTAAAATTTAGGGTGTTGAGGTTTAGAAGTTTGGTTTAGGGTTTAGAGTTTAGGGTTCAGGGTTTAGGGTTTAGGGTTTAGAGTTTAGGGTTCAGGGTTTAGGGTTTAGAGTTTAGGGTTCAGGGTTTACGGTTTAGAGTTTAGGGTTCAGGGGTTAGAGCTTCGGGCTGTGAAGTTGGCGAGTTTGTGAAAGGATATTGGCGTGGTGGCAGTTCGGCACGGAGGTTTGACGGGATTTGGCGCTCAGGGTGCAGGCCGAAGTGCTTGGCTTAACTTCGAAGTTTCCATGCAGACGGCTGTTGACAGTCCAGGGCTTCGTGATAACCGGTAGTTCGTGCTATAAGAGCGACGGTGAGACTAGAGACGCTTTGGCTGCTCAACCTTCTGAATCTTCTTGCCTCCGTGGTTCCACCGGCGTGAGGGGGGGAATACTGCAACCGCCAAATCCACAGTCGAAACTGAGCCCCAAAGCCGAATTGCTACAAAGAGCCTTTGAACAGAGCATTGCGAAAGAAACCCCTGAGACTCCAACGTCCAGAGCTTGTGCCCACAAGGCCTTGAATCCTAAACTCTAAGCCCTAAAGCCTACAAAGAACCCGAATGCCTAACCCTACATGCCCTAAAGCCCGTAGCCAGGGAACGCTCGATTATTCCCGGGCAAAGTGCAAAGATGCGCGGGGAAAGTCTCTCGGCGCTGGACTGGGTTCGGGGTTTAGGGTTGAGTGTCTAGGGTCAAGGGTCTAGGGCCTAGGGGCCGGGTGTAAACAACTAGTCTAGTCTTAGTATGCCTGACGGTTCCTTGACGTTCTTGATTCCTGAATGTAAGTATAGTATAGTAGAATACATCCCGACGAGTAGCTGAAGAGGGCTCGAGAATCGATTGTACAGCCTGGGTTTGCAGTGCATTGTGAATGTGGGATTGAGCCCGAGAATTCAGGGACTTCGTCCGGAGCTGCCTTGTCTCCTCGCAGTCCACACTGTCGGGAACATAGAGACATCCAATATCCCTCACTCATGAAGATTTCATGTGGTATCCCCAGTATGATCAAGGGAACATGGTCGAGTTGCGCGTGTCAGATTCTTCCTCAAGCCTAGTGAGGCACGCGACTTCTTACAGAGGGAGACACCCTAAACCCTAAAACCCTAAACCCCCAAAGCCCCTAAACCCTAAACCCAGAGCCCCTAGAACCCCTAAACCCCTAAACCCCTAAACCCCTAAAGCCCTTAAAACCCTAAACCCAGAGCCCCTAGAACCCCTAAACCCTAAACCCAGAGCCCCCAGTTCAGAACCCTTCTGTTTCAAGGCCCACTGGACCCTTCAGCGCATCTGCGGCCAACGCCAAGGGCGCCTCGGAGCGGATACTCTGACAATTAATACGACGGTTCCTATACGTAGTAATAAGTAATAACAGTAAACATCACAATATTGTTATTGATTCGGTTATGCGTGTAAATTGGATTTAATACTAATATCAATCATCATGATAATAGTTGTTATTAGTATTACTACTGTTGCTGCAATTGTCGTTATTATTCTGGTTACGGATACTGCCCTTACTGTAGTCATGCGAGAGTTAGCACCGTCATCCTTAGCGTCATCTTCATCAGCACAGTTGCCATGGCCGCCATCATTCTCAGTAGTATGATCATGTTCATCACCATCATCACCATCAGCAACATCATCACCAGCATCACCAGCATCACCATCATCACCATCATCACCATCATCACCATCATCACCATCGGACATCACCATCATCACCATCATCACCACCACCACCGTTATCATCGTTATCACCATCATCACCATCACCAGCATCATCAGCATCATCATCACCGCGATGACATCACCATCATCACATCCTCATCGCCGTCATCAGCATCACCGTCGTCATCATCATCATCGTCATCGTCATCGTCATCATCATCATCATCATCATCAGTTTGTCTATTGCTACTGCGACTCGTGACTAGTATGACTTTTCAGTTCTGTTTTGGTTTTGACTCATCTTCTTAAGTGTTATCGTTCTGCTTGTTTCTCTTCACGTTGCCTGAGGCGACCACACAGGGTCCAGCATGTTCGGAAGCTGGCTCAGGGACGCTTGGCAGCACGACAGGTGGGCTTTGGGATCAAGGTGTAGAACCGCAGGGTGGAGGGTTTCGATGTCATGGTTTTCGTAACCCTAAACTCTAAACTAAAGCTCGCAATTCTGGGACCCAGGTTTGGCGTTTCGTTTCTTTGGCTGCGTGGTAATGTGGTGTCGGGTCTGTCATTTCGGATCAGAACCCCTACACCCTAAATCCCAACACGCTGAAACTTCGAAGCTTGGAGGTTTCAGGGTTGCGGATATAGGGTTTATAGGGTTGAGGGTTCAGGGTGGATTACGTACTGTACGTCAATCGGACATGATGAGCCGCATGGCCGGCCGTTGTGCAATTTGCATCGTGTTGTGCTGATGCAGCACAACAGAGTCCTTACAAGAAGCGGGGAAAGGCAACAATACCGGTTTAGGTGTTTGCGTTTTGGGCTTCCGTGCTCTGAATTCGCCGGCTATCGCTTTTCGTCTTCCGAGCCCCTCAGTCCCGGAAATCAGAGAGACAGGGCTTGGGGTTTTTGTTGTACGGTTGTCCAAAGCCCCTCTACGCCTGCCCACGGATGCAATGGAAGGGATCTCCGGACACCCTGGACAGCAAGGTCTCCATCATTAGGATGATAGGTACTGGTAAACTCGCAATTACGAGCAGTGCATGTGATGACAGAGCCTCTGCCAGCCCTTAAACCCCAAACCCGAAACCTTAAACCCTAGACCCTAAACCCTCAACTAGCTGTATCTATCTTAAACCGACAGAACCCCAGCAACTCTGAACCCAAACCCCAAACCCTAAACCCTAAACCCCCAAAAGTCCGCGGCACGCCTTCGTGGAGGCCTCCGCGCAATGAATTTGTCGGCGGGGCGGGGCCTCTTGCACTCCTCAACCCTAAGCGCTAAACCCCTTCAAAGCTGTTTTAACTCTGTTTGTATGCTAGTACTCGTTGCTACTGTATGGCTCAAGTATGAAAAAGGATTCGTGCGTCCTGCTGTTAACAATAGGTTATCAGCCGTAGCTTGTATAGCTCTTCGTAGTGCAATGGACACCACAGCTCCCACAAATCCTGCAGGTGTGCCTATCTCCGAACTAGGTGATGACGACACGGAGTCCGCCCGCTCGAGATCGAATCTGGGCGCAGAGCTTCCGGTTGTCACCGCCCGGGAGGGTCGGGTAGCTCTCACTGAGCAGACGCTACGTTCGCATGTTGGTTCCCTTGGACCTCAACCAGCATACGTGCCATCACGAGCGTCGCTGACACATCAGCCCTCACCCACAGTCGTAGGCTATTCTCCGGTGCCTCCATCGCACACCTCCGTTCCAACTGTCGTGAATCAGTTGTATCAGCATCAGCAAAACGTTCTGATCAGTGCGGATCCTGCACTGATTATGGATACAGCAAATGCAAGACATGCTGAAGCCGTTCGCAACATCCAAAGCGAAAACAGGGAGCAAATTCTCGCTTTGGAAACAGGTGCCATGAGTCAAGTCGCTCAGCTGAGGCTTGAGCATGCACAGTTGCAGTCAAAAGCCAGAGCCTTTGAAGAACAGGCTAATCAAAACATCCATGCTGGTCGGCAGGCCGTAGCCCAGTACCAAATTGAGGCTGAAACAGCCGCTGCTGAAGCTGAGCAGCTAAGGCAGCGCCTCCTATCCGCTGAACAGACAGCTGCGAATGTTGTCGCCCAGGTGGAAACCGAGGCTAATCGAAGGTTGCAGGCTAATCAAGCCGACGTGTCGGCTCGTGACAACGAGCTCTCTCGCCTCAAAGGTGAGATGCAAGAGATGATGAGGATTCAAGCCCTCAACACGCTTGGCGGGAGCCAAAGCTGACCCATTGGGCAATGAACCGGAACAGGCCGGGCCTCCTGGTCTAGGACCCTTTCCGATCCATACTCCTCCTGGCGAACCACTTGAAGCGCCTGAAAAGAGCGGTAAGAAGGAGAAAAAGAGCAAGAAATCCAAAAAGCACAAGAAAGATGAGTCGTCAGATTCATCGTCTTCTTCCATCGACAACAAGATTCTTCTGAAGATGCTCAAGAAGATGGTGAAATCTAAGAAGTCTGATAAAGAGGATGATGATGAAGAAAAGAGTTCCTCGAGTACCAAACCCAAGGTTAAAGAGGCTGAGAAAGTCGTGTTTCCCAAGTTTCCCCAGCCTGAGCAGTATAGAAACTGGCGCATAAGGGTCCGTGAAGCCATTGTCGCTGCATCGGATTCGCCTGACAAGGCGCATGCCTGGCTCAGTAAGGTCTGGGAGAAGGACGCCGACGAGAAAGAGCTTCGCGACCCGGAGGGGTTTAGCACCTTGGATGCCAAGATCCTTTCTGGGCTCACCAATATCCTTGAGGGTGATTTCGCTAGGCAGACTGATACCTTCAAGGAGACCGAAGCTCACGCCGGAAGGCTGGTGAGAGGAAGACAGTTGCTGTGTCGTCTTCACAACCACTTTGCTACCAATGCACTCCATGGCTCTGTGTATGACATGGAGGACCTGATGAATTGCATCATGGTCAACGAAAACCTCACCACCTTCATTAGAAACTGGGATACGGTGCTATCAGGGATTCCCAATCCTCCAGACAACAGCGTGCTTGAACCCCTGTTCCATAGACAGGTGAAGAAGTGCAAGGATATCGATCACGACATCCAGGTCTATGAACGCGCACTGGAAGGTAGCGAGCAAAGGTCCTATCAGTTCCTGTATAACGCGGTTGCTAATCGTTTGAAACGCAAGCGATTGCAGAAGAACCGCGAGCGCATTGCTCGGCAAACAGGTGTACCTACTGCGCCTGCTGCCGCACCGGCCCCTAAGCGTATTCCCAAAGGGTATTGCGTTGATTGGGTCAAGACCGGAAGTTGCAAGAGAGACAATTGCCCGTACAAGCACCAACAACCTAGGGGGCGTTCTCACACTCCTGCCGGAGGTCGTACGCCTACTAGAACCCCTAGCCCGGGAGGGAAAGGTAAAGGCAAAAAGCAGGAATGCAAATTCTTTAAGCAAGGAGTTTGCAATCGTGGAGACAAGTGTAACTTCCTCCACAACGGCCAACCTGCTGCAGCCGCCCCGGGCAGCTCAGGTGCACGAGCGAGCAGCGGCGAGAAGAAGGAAAAGAAGCACAAGAAGAAAGAGAAGAAAAGTGGTAAGGGCCGCAAAGGCTCCAGATCTAGCTCCAAGAGCTCTTCAAAGAGCGGCAGCCGAAAATCAAGTAAGTCTAGCCAAGGCTCGAAGGGTTCGCGTGGCTCAGGTCGCAAGGGTGGTGCGCCCTCCGTTCCCGCTGCAGTTTGCTTATTGGGAGCAATGTTGGCTGGCTCAGCAGCCCAAGCCGATGCATTCACGTTCCGGAAGGATATGTTGAGCAATGTCGATGTTTGCACCCCGCACTATCATGTCGCACTGGCCGCAGTGTCATTCAATGACACTACTGAAAGTTTCACGTACCAAATTCCGAAAGGGAATGGCCTCTACCCCCTCGATGATCGCAATAAGCCAAGGGAGTATAGCCAAGTATATCCCGCCAACAGCCATTGGAAAGCCGATCCTGATTCCGTGAAGGAAGCTCAGGTAACCGCTAAGATGTTGCAAGCTGTTGTCAGTGATGAGGTCAAGGGCTGTAGACCGCAGTGTAAGTTCAAGTGCAACACTGAGTTTGGATGCAAACATTGCATCCCGGTTGGTTTGAAGTTCAACTGTGCCGCACCCGCCAGCAGCAAATCGCCGTGTCTGTGCATCGAATGGATTGCTGATACTGGCAGTGCGCAAGATCTCATCGCCCAGCGGGAGCTTGGGCAGGCCAAGGCCTACGAGTCACCTGCGCCCATACAAATGATGACTGCAAATGGGCCAAACTCCGCTTCAGAACAGTGTGATGTTTCTGTTGACTCCATTGGGATTGAGGTCAAACCATATGTTCTTCCTGATACCCCATCTGTCCTTTCAATAGGACAGCGATGCATGGAAGAGGGATTCGATTTCATCTTGAGGGCTAATTCACGACCGTACCTCAAGACTCCCGAAGGGAAGAAGGTCTATATGGACGTTAAAGATAACGTGCCGTACTTGAAGTCCTGGCATGAAAACATCAGCGTCCCTGCGCGTCGGGCCTCGTCCGGTCCTGGTAAGACGCAGATCATTGAAAGCCCCTCCGCGGCCGGAAGGCCAGCGCCGGAAGAATCATCCGAGGCTATCGCAAAGAAGCTTCGAGAGTCTGGCGACTTCTCACATGCATCATGTTACTCCTTGTTAAACAAGGTAGCTTTCAAGGCCTCTAAGAAGCAGAGGTCTATCATCGCCAAGGACCCAAAGTCCTCTAAGAAGTCCGAGTATGTTGTGCTCGGAGCCTTCTCACACGGCGGGATGCAAGGCATCACTAACCGCAGTCACCAAAATAAGGAGCTAATGAAGTTCCTCAATGAGTATCTGAAACATCATGGTGCCAAGGGCCCCAGCTCTTCACTGTGCATTAATCATGGGTCCAGCGTCAAGGTGCACAAAGATGCTCACAATCATCGTGAACATAAGAATAACACTATGTGTTTGGGTGACTTCGAGGGAGGCGAACTTTGGATTCATGATGAGGAAATCAGCAGGGAGAACAAAGATTATGCTTCTGTTCGCACGCCTGACGGCAGTAAGCTGAAAGGCAAAGTTCACAAGTCCAAGCATCGTATGCTTACGTTTGATCCCAAGACGTACCACTGCGTCCGTCCCTGGAAGGGTGACAGATGGAGCATCACATCATACGTGAATCGTGCTGTACACAAGCTTGATGCTACACAGCTTGCGAGACTTAAGGAGTATGGTTTCAACGTGCCATCTAAGGTCTCAGCTCCGTCTTTGATCGAACCCGGTGATGAGGAAGCGTCTTTGTATGACCTTGTTGCCGGAACACCTCCAGTTGAGAAAGGGGTTGAACTACGTGCAAAGCCCAAGGTCAAGACTAAGGGTAAGCCTGAAAAAGAAAAGAAAGTTGAACCACTCAAAGAACCTGATCCTCCGCCTACTTCGA